TGGAGTCAAAAGCTGAGATGGACGCTACAATCTGTTAAGCTAGTTAGCTTTAGCAGGAGTGTAGTTGAGGTTTTTTTTCTCCACCATTACTGGATTTGGCGACTTTCTCTCACTAAATTACCAAGATGCCACTTAAATAACAGTTAACAGCAGCATAAAAATCTATACGTTAATAGAATTTTAGCTTTGACTAACATTAATTGAGGCTATCTTACCAGCTAGCTTTCACTTGATGTAGTTCTTATTTACTACAGAGCCAGAGTGAAGACATTATACCTCTCTGTATGATAATATTTTTTGTACTGTTAAACAGATTCATGTTAGTTTTGGCCAAATATATAGATACTTGAATTTGTAGCACAGAACACAGTAAGTTGTTCACTACATCTTCCTAGATGTAACACTGCTGCAGCCTGACCTATAAGTTGATTTAATCATCAAAATGCTTGCAAAGTTTCTCCATGTAAACAGCTTTGAATCAGCTTTGCTAACAGGGAGCATACTTCCAACTCTTTGTCTCCTCTGTCAGGTGGACATCGATATCAAGCTCCGTTCCTGCAAAGGATCCTGCATTCGTTACTCCGAGTACCAGGTGGACAGGGAGAGCTACGTGGCACTGGACAAACAGGTAAGGACCTAACTGTTTTGTTCCACCACACCTCACACTCAAGATCACTAACAGAATTACCTACATTTCAACTGGGTCCAGATTTAGTTACTCTATCATAGCGACAAAATCTGCTGAGTTAAACTTTGTTGATTGGTCAAACACAAAATGTGCAGCTGCTACAACTTGTGTAAAGCGGATTCACACAATAGTGCTGATTCCAAACTGATTGAACTTTTAAAAAATATTGTCTCATTTAGATCTATTCAAATATCAGTTACAACAAGAAACACAGCTTATATACACACACATATATATATATATATATATATACCTGGCCTCTGCAACAAGGACTCAGCCTTAGCACATGGGGTGCGTGGTCTACCAATTGAGCTAACCCACGCCCCTCAATGTCCCATATTAATAGAAAATAAATTACATAAAGGAAGTAATAATACCATTTCACTGTAGATTTGAATTGATAATTTTTTCTTTGGGTAACAAAGTTTTATGCACAAACCTGACAATGTGTCAAAAGCTTGTTGTGTAACTTTAAAAAGTCAGAATATCTACTTTTGACAGGTTTTATGTTATTTTCACATACAATGATTGATGGGTCATTTATAAAAATCACTCTGGATTGTATGGACGCTTAACAAGGTTTTCTCACAAATAGAGTTCTGATCCAAGTTGTCCCAAAATCAGGGTTTGCATTATTTCATTTGGTAAAAAGCCACTCTCTCCTTCTGCCTTTTTCCCAGATCAATCAGCTGGACAGCCAATCGGCTCAGAGCATTGAGACTGTGGGGACGCTGTACGTGATGAAGAGCAGACCGCTGCAGGACGTAATAGTGGACAGCAAGTACAAGTCCAAGGATGGTAGCACAGTGGCAGCACAGCTGAAGGAAGACATGTTCCCTGAAGTAAGCGTAACATTATGTTGTGCAGGCTCCAAAATAATCCTACAAACTTTTTATCTCATGAAAGTTACCGGAACCTTTTAGTAAAAGAGGAGGAACTTGTCAAAGCAGAAACAGAGTCAGAGCTTCACACATCACTTAGCTTGTTGTAAATGGTAAATGGTCTGTACTTCTATAGTGCCTTTCTAGTCTTCCAACTACTCAAAGCGCATTCACATGCTTAGGTGCCAAGTGCTCATCAGAAACAAGAATTACATTTCACACAGCGATGGCAACCAGTTTGGGAAGCCACTTTTCCAGGTTGTCCTCCCAACCTTCAGTAGTAGTAGGCAGAGGTATGATCACACAGTTTGTGTTCCCACACAATTTATTACCAAAAAACTTGCTAACTCTCACAGACCCTGGTTCGGTGAAAGGAATTGTAAGTCCTGGACATAATTCATGCAAGGTATCATAGGCCTAGAAATAAAATAGATGTCATTACATCTTTTTATTGCCATCTTTCGCACAAAAACACATATTTCTAGAACCATGCACACTCATGTTATTTGTCATTCTTCTTTCTCAGGTTAACACAGTCGCGTTGATCCTAGAGGAGGAAGGCTCCAGCTCATCCCCAGCAACCATCTCCAAGGTCCCAGGTACTTCCTACTCTCCGTCTACATCCTCATCATCGTCCTCCTCTGCTTCCACCTCCTCCTCCTCCTCCTCCACATCATCTAAATCCATTACTGAGCTTGGAGGCCATGGTGATGTATTTGGAGCGGGCGGAGGTTTTGAAACTCTCGGTCAGCCGAGTACAAGCCATGTGTCCACCAAAAGCGTCTCCTGCACCAAGAGCATCAGGAGGACCGTCATCCACACAAAGGATGGGCCGGTGGAAAGGACGGAGGAGGTAATAGGGGGAGGCCCAGAGTGCCAGGGCATGACAGACCTCACCAAGGGAGGTTTGAGCTCCTTGTTCCCAAGCCTTGGCACCACATCATCATTTTCCTCCTCCTCGTCCTCCTCCTCCTCTTCTGTGACCACCAAGAATGTCCAAGCCAGTGGTGCCAAGGGAAGTCTCTTAGGAGATACCAAAACTGGGTTTGGGGATCCATTCGGGGCTGAAGTCGGGCACGACCTCGGCTTATTTCTGACGGAAGATGGAGAGGATGACATTCCTGATTTCCATGCCCGGAGTGTGAAGAGCACGCGTATCGAGCGGCAAGCCGATTATGTAGGAAAAGGTACACAAACCTCAGACCTGGAATAAAATCTGCAAGGGCCAGAGTGACACATTCAGCTAGACAGCATGCTTTAGCATCAGCTAGCTTGCTAGCTAGCCTTATGTACCAATAATGTGAAGTGAACTCTGTAATTGTTTATTCCTAGAGCTAGAGATTTTGCATGGAACCTTTGTGCTGTTTTTACTTTGTAACAAATATGAAACTAAAAAAAAACTGGAATGTGGCACTGATTTACAGATTGACAAAAATGGGTTGAGTTATTTGGGACAAATGTTGCATTGAAAATGAGTTTAAATGTACTCCAGTCATAAGTGCGCCATCAGAGCTAGAGCAGAGTCAATTAAGGACTGCGGACAGAGCAACTTTTTTCTTTGTCTTTTTTACACGTTCCTTTAAAAACACATTCATAAACTTAACATTTAAACAAGTCCACAACAGAACCCCACTCACCTTTAAAAAATTAAGTTTTAATTCAGGAGCCACTAATCAAACCGAGTATTAAAAAATGTGGAATATCCAGCTGGTGTTCAAAATACAGATTGACAAAATGAGTTAGAGAAGAGTGTTTTGCAGGGAAAGTAACCGTGCTTCAGTCACTGCAGTTAATTTCAGCTACCCGAGCCAAAGCCGGTCCAATGGTGTGCCCCTTTCTGTTTTCAGATTGTGTCGAAGCCTACCAGAACCACCTGAAAGGGGAAACGAACGGCCTGTTTAAGATCAAACCTGATGGCACGGACTCCACAGAGGTAGTGGAGGTGTACTGCCAGCAGGAGGGGCTAATGGGTGGGTGGTTGTTAGTCCAGCAAAGAGAGAGTGGCGCGCTCAGCTTCAACCGCACTTGGGCCGAATATCGTAACGGGTTCGGTTCTGTTGACGCAAAGGGCAAGGGGGAGTTTTGGCTAGGCAACCAGAACCTCCACCTGTTGACTAATCAGAGTGAGACCATGTTAAAAGTGGAGCTAGAAGATTGGGAAGGGGGCGTAGCCAGTGCTGAGTACACAATCAGGGTTGGCTCAGAGGAGGAAGGGTACCCGCTGCATGTGTCTGGGTACGTTGGAGATGCCGGTGATGCTCTGGTGATGCCTAAATCTGAGATGGCGTCTTACCTGTCCCACATAGGCATGAAATTCAGCACCTTTGACAAAGACGATGACAAGTGGGAGGAGAATTGTGCAATAATGTACGGGGGCGGGTGGTGGTATAACAACTGCCAGTCAGCTAACTTGAATGGGATTTATTATAAAGGCACATACGACCCGGAGAAAAACACACCTTATGAGATTGAAAATGGAATTGTGTGGGTGACGTATAAACCGGCCAATTACAGCCTGAAAACTGTTAGGATGTTGATTCGACCAGCTGAGTTTTAATTGGACAAACGGGGGAAATGATTGAACAAAATAAAATACACACATTTGTGTATTCAAACCGTAAAATCTGCTAGAATAATAGGCAACAGGAAGAAAGAAAGAGGAGCATGAAATAAAACGTAAAAATAACATAAAACAGAAGCGCTCACTGAAGCTGCAGATGAATATCTGAGGCCAAAAATCAAAGTTGGTTTGAGACCTTTAGTCCGATGTTCTGTTCGTAAGTCAAGAGATTTCAAAATCATGTCAAACAGTGTCAGTGTGTGACCATGGGTATTTTTGTTGATTCTTCTGTTCTTGTCAGCACTTTGTGTAAATGTCATTGACCTGATTGATTATCCAACCTGTGTTCTTGGAACGATCTGATGTTTCCACATTGTTCTCCCTGTTGCTCAACTCTGAACAGAGCAATGACTGAACTCTGCTCAATCAATAAAGATTCAATGTTCACTTCAGCTACTGTGGTTTTTGGTGTTATTTAAAAAACCAGAAATGTTGATCCATGTTGTTCTAAAGTATTGTTGTTCTAAAAATAATTGAAGTAAGTTGTAAGTCTGCTATTGTATTACAAACACAATCTGGGTAAAGTCTTGCAGGAACTTCACATTTTCTTACCAGTAAATGTCCACGTTTAACCATTTTAACATATTCTGGGATTTGATGTAATGCACCTAGCTAGATTGTTTTATGTTGTCTGTACCTGTGTGGGTTTGGTGCTACATTTTCAAGCAAACAATTGAACTGATGTTTGTAATACATGATTGTAGTGCAAATGGGTTGTAATAATGGTTTGCTGTCAGATTGAATATTTTATGAACGTGATAGAATTTCATAGAAATGAATCAAATCTAACATATGATCATACAAACTATAACAAACTATTACCTACAATTTCTATGTACTTTCTGTAGGCCACAATAACACGCTAGGGGATTCAAGGACGAAAGTGAGATGTGGGTATGTGTGGATCCTGTTGCCTTTACAAAACAAACAGCAGCATTCCTGTTTATATTGTGATTTGGTGCATCAAATTTGCAATAATCACCACAACCTAATTGCCACGCATTAAATCAGAGGTCTTCAAGACCCCTACGGGGCCACGGGTCAGAGGCAGAAGCTCACTTTGTCTAGTTGGTAGTCCAGCCTTGTTTTTAGACAATGAGGTGAAATTAGTTGTAGAGTAAGAGGTCAGTGAATTTTCAGCGCAGAACATGACGTGCATTCACATTGGATTTAATTCCAGTATCCTAAATTCAGTTGTTTATGGTGTCTGTGAAGCACCAGAGAATAATGTTAGAAATCCAACAAACTGCAATGTTTTTAATGTACGTCTACTAAAACTGAATACAATGAAACATTTACGCAAGGTCTTTGTCCTGTCTAAACTTCAGGTCGGTTACACAATATAAACACACTTACAACACAACAGGTAAACATATTTTATCTTTGCAATACCATGTCAACATCAAGGTGAACTGTGCCCTGTCCTGTAGTTTTTCTTTTTCTGCTTGTCTGCAGTGTGTACGAGGCTGAAGCAGCAGAATCAAGATGGCCGAAAGCCCACCAGTCAGCAACACTGCAGAGTGAAATCAGGCTTGGCTCTGTGCTCAGATGATGACTGGGTAAGAAACATGCAAACACACACACATAACCTGTTTCCTCGACATGTGGAAGTAATTTCACTTTTTTTTTTCAAGTTACAAGGTATAAAGGTACAAGGTGCAAATTTGTTTATTAGTTCATACAGCACAAGGCTGCTTAATGAAACGAAATTTTTAGTTCCTTCATGCTACACACAACATATAATTAAGTGGTGGTAACATATAAAATAAAATAAAACAATATATACAGTTATTTATATACATATATACATATAGGCCTACATATACATCCCAAACATTTCACAGTACATTTTTTGAATTTGGGGTGAATGTAAACAGCAGCAACCAGATGATAATATGAAAGTTTCATCTTCACAATAAACAGTCTTACATTTGGGAAACAGAGTCCATCTTGAATACGTTTGAACACCAAGCATCAGCGATGCAAAACACAGAGTCCATCTCGTCTCATCTTGTCGGAGTCTTGCGCTGACAGCTCGGAACACGGACCACCTGCCAAGTGCTGGATCTGGCAACAGTCTCTGAATTCTGTTGTTTGGTCAACATGAGTCCCATTTTGTCCAGACCGGCTGTTTAGGAGCATAATTAGGTCCAAGCTGGGCCAGCATGGCTCCTCTCTTGGCTCTCTTTCCTTTCCTCTGAGCGAGCACTGCACCCTCCGTGGCGCCTGGTCCAGTTGTTTGGGCTGGGTGGTTTGTGGTCCGCTGCTCCTTAATCCAAAAAACTCTGTCTTCATCTTCCAATGACTGTATTTATGCCAGAGATAAATTATGTTTTGGCAATACAGCTGGAAAAAACAAATAAAAAATAAAACAAATTACTATGGTTCATCAAGCTACTTTGGGGTTAGATCATGTGGAGTTACAGACAATCACCATTGACTTGTGTCAAGCACTTTGCCTTGCTTCTGGAATCTGGACTGAATTTTAGTTCAAGACAAGAATGTAAAAAGAAAAAAAAAAGGTACTCTTTACCTGGTGCACACTCTCAAATACACTTGTAAACCCTTGCATTGTTCTCCGAAGGCTTCTAAATGCCCCTCTGGCTGCAGACTCGAGGGTTTGATCTCAAAGATGGGGAGAGAGGTGGAGAGGAAACTGAGGAAGGTGTGTAAGACGGCAAAGATGTACGAAGACGCAGCTGAGAAGTCCATGACGGAGATGACACAAATCTACAACGACAACCGGAGAGTAATAGTCAACAGATACAGTAAGTGTGATTACGTTTGGTTTGGTTTCCTGGACAAAATAAAGACAGAATGATTTGAGTAATGCTGTATTATATTTTATTAATACTGTATTCGTGTCCAGCGTCCGAGCTTAAGTTTGTGGACCATGCCGAAGGACTAGCCAGGAACCTCACGTCGCTACAGAAACGATCGTCTTGGCTGTCGCAGCAACTCGGTCAGCTGCGCCACAATGTCCAGAAACAAATGGAGGACTTGTATCAAACAGAGGTGAGGTGTGACGTTGTTTACATCAATACAATACTTTATTTAGAATTTACACATAAGGACGGCAGGGACACATTCTAGAAATAGTCAACTTCATGATCCACCTTTTTTTAGTGTTTTAGTGTTTACTCACTACTACTCACTTTGCTTTTCCTTCAGCTCTCTTTTTCCCCACACACACGTCCACACCTACAGCTCTGATCTCTTTCTACAAACACACTGTGGCCAGATTACTTTAATAGTGGAAAATCAAACCCCAAAACATTATAGTGGCTGGTGCTGAAACAGATCTCAGTCATGACAGCAAAAGTTAGTCACATAATCACTTCCTCTTAAGTGATTGTGCCTATAAAATAAAAGTGTGAATGTCTTTGCAGCAGTACTTTATGCCATGTTCTGAAGGAAATTCAAAGGAGTCTCTGGTTTGCTTGACACAGCTCTGAAAAAGCCGTCAGAAAACGTGAGATCAGATTCCCTGAATGACAAACTCGGGAATTTCCTCTGCCTGGAGATACTGTTCACATCTTATAATATGATACCAGATAACATATCATAATAGCTTTATAAGGTAATAATATGATAATATTGTAGTGCTTGTTGCTGATGTCTTGCTTACGTCAACAGGTGGACATTGATATCAAACTGCGAGCCTGCCATGGGTCCTGCCGGTTGGCGTTACCTTTCAGCATAGATCATTCCAGCTATCAGATGCTTCAAAATGACATGGACCAGATAGACAAGACTCTCAACCAAAGAAAGAAGACCGCTACTCCTCCTAAAAATATCCCTACTATCAATCTGCAGCATATAGATGTAGGCCCGGCACCGTCTGCAGAGTACAAGACCATCCCCATGGTCAAGAGAGAACTGTTGACCCAGTTTGAGGACATTGGACAGAACCAGGTAGTTCTGGAGAAGCTCCTGGAGGCGTCTGCAGATATTGAGGCTCTCGCTCCTACAGAGCTGGAATGAAACGGTTTGACTGAAGAAGGGCTGACAGTTTGCAATGGGAGTAAGTAATGAAGGAAGAGAAGAATAGGTGTTTCTTTTTCATTTCACCAGCACACTGTAACAATATTCAAATAAATATGATATATGTTGTTTTATTTTTGTTTACAGAACATCTCTATAGACAGGCTCTCAAATTGACACACAGTTTCATGCTAAAAGTCAGTTTGTCCTAATGAACGGGTCTTTGGCTGAGGAATCTATGGCTAAATGCAGCAGTTACAATGTTGCAGGTAGTTGCAGGATTTTTTCAACACAGAGCAAAAAGAAACATCTTTAAAAATTAGAAACCACATTTTAAATAAAAATTAAACAGCAACATACTGCATGAATTACAACAATTTATGGGGCCATTACACAAAGTGAATGTCTCACCTTCTATCACTATGTTACAAATTCCCATGTGTTCTGTCTGTAATGTACTGTAATGTTTTAAAGGTATCATTTGAAATGGTGATCTTTTTTTTTTTACCTCTCTTACTTGTCAACCAAACATTAACTTCAGACCAAATTATTTAAAACAGTACTTCAAACAGTCCATTTTTAGATGTTAATTTAATAATATTAGATCTTTTACATACTAACAATGTATTTTTCTGGTTCCGCATGTTGGCAAAAGTTTGTATTACCTCTGAACAATAACTAGACACATTTGAATATCAGCCCCGACTGCAGTGAAAACACAGTTCTGATTTTTTATTTATTTCACTCTTATGTCTTCATAAGAAACAATATACAGAAATAATTACTTTCAGCACACTGTAGTCGTTTTGTTTGTTTAGTAATTGTGTTATTTATATTTGTATAGATTACTTATAAAAATGCATTGTTGCACACAGTTTTGCACAATTCTTTTACTTATGTTAACCCTGATCTTATTTTGCCTATGTTTCTTATCAAATAGTTTCTTTCACAGTATAGTTTCATTTGTATTGACTAGCACTACAGTGGTAAGTCATTAAATTTGCATTTTTCTCTATAATACACGTTTTCTCTTTTATTTTAACAAACTGGAGCAGAAATGATTCTTGTTTAAGCGGGGATGAAAAATTACTGTGTACATTTTTATTTCTGTAGTGCAGTGAACAACAATCAGACCAGGCAGAATGTATGTTCCTCAATGTCTTTATTGAGTAGTGGAGGACAGTTGGCAACAACTCGTCCTTGTAGTACACACACTGAAGACGTCTCATATAACAAGAAAGGACAGATCACAGCACATCCACTCATAACCATTAAACTTTTTTCCTATCTGTAGAAATGACAAGTTTTTCTGACATTAAACAATTTCTTATTCTTCAATATTTAAGTTTAATGAGATTTTTGAAACAGATTTAGGTTCTTCAGTTCTTTTTCACTTTCCCAGCTCACACTAACTCAGTGTTAGCAGTGTGTAAATGTGTTTGTCCATCAGCAATCTACATAAAGGTTACAGCTAAAATAAAGTAAACACTTCAATAGTAATTAACCATCACAAAGAGCTTTGAAGCTTTTCTGGTGGCTCACATTGGCCCCAAACCCTGTTGGGAGACATTGGTGTCTTTTATTTTGGCGGTTTCCTCTATGTGTTATATGTGCGTTGACACTCTCCGACATTTATCCAGTTATTTGGAGGGGAAAAAAGGCCTAATCTTCATGCTGATAGCCTTGAGTGAATACCAGCTCCCCTTCCAGTTCATCCACACCACACCATCGTCTGTGCCATGCCTGGTCATTTTCTTTGTGTAGGCTCCACCTATGTAGTATCGCCCATTGAGATTGGCTGAGTGGCAGCGGTTGTACCACCAGCCGCCCCCGTCCTCCCTGGCACACTGTTTGGAGGGATCACCAGGAGTCCTGGTTTAGGGAAACAGGGACAGAGAAATGATATATGAAAACCCGACAGAGAAAAAATTTGTATGAGCTATTTTTAGATATAGTTCAATGGCCTGGTCACACCAGCATTTAAAATTTGACATTTGACAGCAAAATCAATCTTGAATATGTGTCAACCTATTGTCCCATTAAATACCAAGCTAGATTGCTCAGAGAGCTATTGTGACCGTGCTTGTTGTCACTGACTAGTGACCAGCTGCGCACAAATAATCTTCGGCCTCTAGCTTACTAGAAATTTACATATTACCAACATCAGATACTGTTCTTAAATGGAGAAAGCAACACCAGCTCGTGTAGTGAATGTTTCATTAAGAGTTTGTAGCCTCAATGTTGCTAGGATAGTAACTTTCTTCAAGTTCAATTACGCAGGAGTTTCTGATGACTTAATATAACACGTTTTGTCAGTTTGTTTGGCGGACTTGCTGAGTAAAGGATGTTACAAGATGTTTTAGGATTTTGCCACATGGTTTAACTGTAATCCTGCATACTAACCAACAGGACACCTACCAGTTGTCATTGTCTCTGTCGTAGGTGCTGAACATCATGCCGTTGTGAATGGTCATGGTGCGGTTTTCACCAAAGAGTTCTAAGGATCCTTCCAGAAAAGAGTTGCCAGCGTTCCCGGAGTAACCATTGACCGCCAGCACGTAGTTGGACGTCTCTGATTGGACGGTGAACTGGCGATACTGGGCATGGACCTAAATGACAGCGGAAACCATTTGAGTTTAAGAAAAACTATTTTTGGTAAAAATGTAATGCCGAAAATTGCTGATTACTCATGGTTTTTACTGATTACTAATCAGCAAGCCATAACACTGAATGTTTAACTCTCCACACTGCTTAATTTGTTAATATATAGCAAGACCAGTGTTTTCTTCTTTAAATCAATAAGAAAACCCAGGTTAAAGTTCAAATGTAGTTAACCAGCTTGTCAGAAGAAACAGTGGGATTTGAAGACATGGTTAGAAAATAGTCAAATGTTTCCCATCATCATTTCCTGAAGGCCAAGATGATGTCTTAAATGCCCCAAAGACACTTTACTAATGAATAAGACTAGTTGTAAATCCCTACATTTGAGAACCATAAATCAGAGAATGTTTCAGAAAATCCTTTCTCCTATAAATTTAAGCCACGAGGACTCACCTTGGCTCCTGTCCAGTCCTGCATCTCAATGAGAACCTCTGTGGGGCCCATCTTTGTTACCTGACTAATGCGGTCATTACCCAGCCAATATTCACCTGTCACATGACAAAGGAGAAAGGTACACTGGTCAACCACAAATTGTAGGAATAATGGTGGATATTAATATACAGTTAACTGCCCAAATTACTAAATGCGAAAGTGAGGTGTCTTATAACAAGTTGGTTTCCACCAACCACACCAAGGTTAAGCTCCCTCCAACACAGTCTCTTGTTTCATATTTTAAAAGTCTTACCGGGAATCTCACAGTGACCCTTGCTAGCCTTGAATGCAATGTTGCCAAAACCACGTCTATATTCGTCCCAGCGTCGACCAAAGTCAACACTGCCATCAAGCCTGTTCTGGATGAGAAGCCATCCTGGGAAAATGAAAAAACAGTAACTCTACCAAAGGTCTAAACATCCAAGGTATGACCTAGGTATGAGGTAAGGTAAAGGTAACTTATAAAATTTAAGTTTTATTTTGTAGGTGGCCTAACTTAATTATTTCTCACCTCCATTTTGGGTGGACTGATCACAGAAGACCTTGTATGGAAGGGAGAATGCGTCGGGCTTGATTAGGTACATCTGGGAGACACTTCCACCACGACGGTAGATCTCCTCACATTCCTTACCTGAATCACACAGAAAAACGGTTCAACATATTTTCAAACTTATGTACACTTACATACATATGTATGGTTGCATCATGGATAGACCAATATGTACTGGATACAGAGAATTAATAATTTAAATTGCTGATATATCTGAGATGTTCTTCAGTTCTTGTTTATTGTCTTCTGCCAAAGACAACACAAATAATCTGTGATTAAAGTTCCTTTTGTGTTCTATTCATTGGGGTCAAAAATATATCATATGCTTCATTGATTTGTACTTTGGCTCCTAAAGATCTATGTCAGATGTGTTGAGAAATATTGTGAGCCACCAGGTTCAGGTGTGAAGAAGTTTCAGAGACTGATGAAGACTTAACATAGCATTGTTTATTGAGCCCGGCCGAGGAGATACAGTGCCAGCATACAACATGTGAACACGTCGAATGCCAACACCAAATTTGAAGGATTTGAACATCTTGTGGTCCCTTTTATGTTTCCGTCTTCACCCTAGTGCCTGTAGGTTTCTCTGTTACATCACCTTTCACCTAGAACAACAATCTATCTGATGTTTAGACTCCAGTGCTTCGTCAGATTGGAATCTCTCACTATCCATGAGCTGCACTCTAATCTGTGGAGCCAGTGAGTTCTTGGAAACATTCCTGTAGACACAACCTTGTAAGATTCCCAGAGAACACTGATATTTGCTAGCCTGATGCCTGACCCACTGTCTCTAACTAATCAGTCTATTGTTGTCTTCCTGACAAGGATAAGTACATGTGAGAAATACCTAAAGCTAGAATGTCAGAAAAGACTTATGGGGTCAGCTGAATTACTCTAAGCTAGACCTGTCTTATCTTTCCCTGTTACATCAACAAAGCCCCTTAAGAAATATTCTCAACAAGTTGGTTTGGCTGTTTATTTGTCGGCACAATACTTAAGTCCAGAAAAAGGTAACTATCCTCTAGACCTCCATGTATTTGGTATTGATATTCATGATCCACAAATCTTAACATTTTAGTGACCCCCTGAACTTCGCTTTGGCACCACCATCAGATCAAAATGTCTAATGTCTAATCTATCACACACATCTAACATTTCACACATCGTTTGAATTTTAATGACTCTATCACCTTTCCTCTAGCTGCACCTTTGAGACAAACGTTAGCCCTACTGTAAGGTAACTTACCAGACACCACTGGTATGGGGCATTTTGTCTTGCATGGTTCCTTGCACTCCTCCTTCTGGGCCTGGATGGCCTTCTCCAGCTTCTGGATCTTCAACCTGATCTTGTCCAGGACCCCCTGCAGCCACATGGCACAATACACATTAGGGGTTTGTAATTCTTAAGTTTGGATACGCCAGATTATGGGACCTGTTGATCCTTATCAAGTGATGCCTTTTGTTTTGTCTGTAAATTGTATACATTTATTTTGTTTTGCTTTTTCTGTGATAGAGTTACACTTTTCCATGCTTGATGCTTTATTTACAAAATGAAAATTTTGAAAATTTTTGTATAATAATTATTAGCAGGTTCTGACACCATGAAATAGACTGACAAAATGTTCCCTCTGCTTGACTTGTGTCAGCTCTTATTTACCTGTAGCACTCTGATGTTGGAAGGGAAGACAGTGTCCACCGTCTCCTTGATGTAGGCATGTTGTTCCTCCACTCGATCAGTGTAATCCGTCACCACCCTGCTGTTGTCTGAGAGGAGGACGAGAGGGAAAGAAACAGTTAAAGTGCAAAATAATTCAATGTTATTTTATTTTAATTATAGACGTGTGTGCATCAGAAGCTTCACTTAACAGGGTTTCCCATTAAGACCTCTTGTCTTTGGCAATAGAACCACTTTTTGTAGCACTTAAAACAACAGGCCCCATCTTTAGGATTAGACATCATATTGTGATGACAATTGTAATATACAGTACTTTATTATCATTATAGATACCCTGTTTGTTTTCTTCTATCTGGCTTGTGCCATGTTTAAATTAGTATTATTTATGGGGTGGCGATGGTGCAATGGATAAGACGCCTGCCTTTGGTGTAAGACACCCAGGTTCAATCCCCCACTGTCACATATCCACCATTGTGTCCCTGAGCAAGACACTTAACCCCTTGTTGCTCCAGAGGCGTGCAACCTCTGACATGTATAGCAATTGTAAGTCGCTTTGGATAAAAGCGTCAGCTAAATAAATGTAATGTTTTCCCTTATTTTAAGGGGAAAGACAAAAGGAAAGGGAAGAATCTAGTCGGAAAAGGAGCTTTCACTTAACATGGATTTTGTGTTTGTGAGTTTCACCTTCCCAAAACTATATATATATATAAATATTAGTTCAGGTGTCCTGATTTCACTGTTTAAATTGAAATGGCACTTATTTGGGCTACCAGATCCATTTTGCACGTTAAAAAAGAAACGAGTTACCAACATCATCTTGTTGATCAGACCATCAAGATGTATTTTTCATGCCAAAAGTCATCAAGTTTTTCTCACCAGTGACAATTCTCTGCCTCTCCCTCAGAGAGTTATGAATGTTGTTGACATAGTTGTAGACGTTGTTGGAGGCTCGGGACAAATCATCCACCTGAGGCTTGAGTTCATTAATGCTCTGTGAGAAATAAATGCAAAAATATATAAATAAAAGCTCAATCATTCCCAATATCTTCTCAATGACAGTATAGCAACAAGGTAAGTAATGAACTCTATGAATTTAAATGTTTGCTATAATAGCAATTTTAACAAATAAATATTGGTTTAAACTAATTTCTTCTCTTGTTTTTCTCAAAAAATGTTTCTGGTAATAAACAACAAAAGAAAAGAACACTGAAAACACAAATGAGCTCAAAGTAATTCAGTAAATAGGTTTCATTTACGATCTTGACGTTCCTCTCTTGCTTCAGCAGTGCGGTCTTCAGCTCGCAGCCAGTGGGACACAAAACACCCTGGTGAATGAGAATATCTCTGTTTAGCTGTCTGTGGTTCAGAGACTAAAACTACAATTTTTATTATAGCAAAATTCAAGGCTGTTGAGCATGCAGAAATTAACTGAAACAATTGGTCTCCTGAGCTAAAACATCAGGTTGGGTCCTTTGGTGACTGTATGCTGCTGTCTTCCTACCATCTCCTCTGAGGCATGTGTGCATCCTCCAGCTTCAGGCTGCTCTTCCTTCTCCTGCAACTGTGCTCTTCCGACTGGAGCTGGGGTGGGACGGCCACGATACCTGGACGAAAAGCAAGGGACACTTCACTAACATGTCAGACACACTGAGAAACACTCTTCGTTTTCCCCATCATTTTTCCCCATTCTAGCGGTATGGTTGTTCCACTACTGTCCGAACTGAAATACGTCAATAACTACTGGAGGGATTGCACAAAAATTTTGTACAGACATTCATCAAGGATGAAGCATACTGGCTTTGATAATGGCCTGACATTTCAGCTAGCACCACCATGAGGTTGGGTTTTGGGATTTTGAAGGAAATGTATCAACAAGTATTGGACAGATTGCCATAAAACTCTGTCCACACATTCATGAACCCCTCAGGATGAATTGTAATAACTTTGGTCAACTCTTAAAGCTGGGGTAGGCAATTGTTTTTTTTGTAATATCAATAAATCAAATGCTATGGCACAAAAATTAAATAAATCCACTATATGTGGCTGTTGTTGAACTGCAATTAGCATGGCCAATCACTGGCTGCCTATCTGCCTATCTGCCTACCTGTGTACTCTCTGCCCGTGCACTCATTCCGCATGGGAATGTGTTTTGGAGAAGTGGTATTGGAGGGAGGCCCGAAGGGTGGAGGTGCAATTTTTTTCACCTAGCTAACTTTTCATCTAGAGTCATCTACAAGACAACATTTGTACTTTGACCAACACTTACATTTTTGACCAAATACCTACAAAACTGTAATTCCCATCTGCCTCAGCTGTACTTTTTTATTAATTAGCTAATTAGAAAATGTTGCTAACAGGCTAAATTAAGATGGTGAATATGGTAAACACTACACCTGCTATAAATGAGCAGTTTTGCTTTGTCATTGTGAGTATTTTGTCATGCTTACATGGCATTTTACTCAGAGTACAGGGTCATAGAGCTGTTAGTGTGGCTATAGTCTTGTTCCAATGAGAGTTGAAGGTACTGTTGACTTGTTTGTTTTCAGTGGTGGAAAGTAACCATTTACTCAAGTACTGTACTTAAGTACAATTTTAAGTAATTTTACATTATACTTCTACTCCACTACATTTCATTGTAATGGAGTATTCTTACTCCATTGCGGCAAGATCTCTAAATACCACAATGGTGGTTTCATTAGAATACAATTTGTCTTAAACTTTATTTCTTTATTATCTTTTTAATGAATCTGCGTGGAAATGTACCTGCTGCCACCACTGATAGGAGGCGGGGCATAGCGGTTAGGGTTGTAGGTGTCCCTGGCCTTTTCTAGTGGACGGTGACCACGAGCATCTATAGTCTCTGGTAGGGCCTGCCGTGGGAAAAAAGTGATGAAATGAAGGAAATAATAACAAAATATCAAAATTGTTAAAAATAAAATTCATGATATAACTCAATTTTTACAAGCATTTACATACTGTCCCATTAGCTGACGGGCTCTTGTTGTCCTGTGGAAGACATTAGCAAACTGTTAGTGAATAGTGAATAAATTTGAATATTAAATTATTTTTTCCTGTCAAACTTGCAATTGTAACTGTTGTTTAAAAGCATGTATCGAGGACGCTCTGAGTCCATGTAGTTTTTTGTGCTGTAGATGACACAGCTGTATCTCATTCCAAATGTATTATTACTGCACATGTAATTTGAATCATGAATCCCATACTATTGTGTATATCTGTGAATTATCATGTGACCTGTCTGTGACTTTTCAAAAATGTAAAAAAGCCTTTTTTTTATTACAATACGCTTAATTCATTTTATCAGACATCATTTTGTAAAACAATACAACATTGTGATCACAATGTTAGAGATCATTTACATAAATATATAATCTGTAATATTATATAATAATTTACCCTAATAGTGATCAGTATTACAACTAAAGAAGGCTGTCTCTAACATTACAATGAAGATACACTTTAAATCTGCTAGCACACAAGAGTCTGATATTTGAAGTTAAAGCTGGTTAAATGTATTTTGACCTGTGTCGTTAATTTATTGAACCCGTGATTTTCCTTTAGGAGTCTTTAAATTTTTAGGAAATAAATGGTATCTGACGGTATGTCTGTTCTCTGACACTATATAATGTTACTCTACTGTATTTACGTTTCATTGATATTCAGAATGACATAAATGATATCTTTAGAAACTTTGGGATCTTCACCATAATTTTATTCAAGTGAACACACTTAAACACACTCACCGAGTCGTCGTCATCGTCGTCGTCGTCGTCAAATTCCAGATTACCCTGGGCCCATACGACGTACACACACAGATACAGCACAAGCAGCGTCCTCATTGTCCACTAATAAAGTTACTCTTCTCAAATTCTCGGCAGCCACCGTCCACAGTGTGCCTTCACTACTCTTTCTGTTCCTGAAATCTCTTCCTGACCAGGTATTTATCTGTCTCTGTGTGAGTGGGCGTCCTCCCCCACTTTTATTGATCTGCTAAAATTGTTCAATAGCTGCTGGGACAGTTTACCCAACCTGAATCACTGCTGTACACAGTCAATCTGGAGTTTGTGAAGGAACAAAAGGGCAAAAGGACTGAAGAGTTTACTGATAAATGAGAATTGGTTGAGCATATGTGTAAGCAGTTTCCAGTTTTAACATTTTTTTTTCATTTTGAGATGGTTTAACAAACCCAGTGGTTGCAGAATAGCTTCAAACCTTTTTTCTGGTTTATAACAGTTGATTATTGAAACATTTTAATCGGTTATTTCTTAACAGGGATTCAGCATACTGACGACATGTCTTCAATGGGTTTATGAAGTAGTTAGCTAACACTAACCTTAATAGTCAGACCATATATACTGAATCTCACAGGTGAAGAGGTTCTTAAAATACCAAGTCACTACAATTATCTATAGTTTATTATTGACAAAGTGATTGTAAGTATGATGGCATCATTTGGAGATTTTGAACACTTTGTTTTGCTTAATTTATTATTTTCCCTTAAAGATATTGTTTAAAGCAGGTACATTCACACACTAGAGAAATATTTAGCATTGAGGCCATTGGTGTCGGGAAATTAGGACGATTGAGCAAGTGATTGTTTGTTTGAGGCCAAAAGGGTGCATGGTGCTGCATTAGGAAATCATCAGCCTTAACGCACAAACACAAACTTTTACTACTCTATTAGTGACTCTATTAGACAATATTTATTATTATATATTTATATTTACTTTCTGAACTCTTACCCCAATATACATATCATATATATGATATATATATAATATATATATATATAACTAAGTTAAAGGCTGTAGGCAAGAAATTAAACTTTAATCCCATCTAGGTTGTCAACAGTACCGTGTCCCCACAAAGTGGGTGTGTGAACATCAAAGTGTTCCCCTTATCTGATTGATAGAGAATTGTGTCCCCCACAATGACAGTGTGTGGACAGAAATCATCTTACTTTTAAATCTGTTTTCCCCTTGTTATTATCTCGTTTATATGTATATACTCTCTTACAGATAGCCAGGTGTCAGGGTGAAATTTTAGTTTTAACTAAATTAATGGAGGGAAGGAAATAATTATGTTAAACTTGTGTGTTTAGTATACTTATTTACATAGTAACTTTGCATTGGTACAACAAAAAAAAGGTCCATTGTTGAATTGACACACATAAATCTGGAGGAAGAATATTTTTACACATATGTAGAAATTTAAAATTCCCTTATTTTGTGACACAAACCTTCACTCTTTCACTGTTAAGTGTTGTGCAATATTTCATTGAAGCAATAAATAAAAAAAAAATCACATTTTCTAATGCATAGTTTTATTGATATATGCTTACCCAGATATGACACAAGTGGCACAAGGCCAACAGTGAATTCAGATGGATGGATCTGGACTGAATCAGTGCAGTTGGATTAGCCAGACCAGAACCATATCTTGGGTTGACACAGTTTGCAAACAAAACTTATTTCAAAAAGCGACATGTGTATCACATCCATTAATGAAAGACAAGGACAGAAAACAAGGACAAGAACAGATTTTGGAGAGAAAACATTACTCCAACTGTTGGATCCAACATGTGGACCCTGTCAGTTGCGTCCATGTCAGATGGTTTTTGATTGGTGGGTCTGAGTTCAGATCCTCTTGGCACAAACAAATGGAAGTGTATCATTGCATGACTCAGGTTCCCACTTCAAATCTTCTGCAATGCAAAAAATTGAGACAAACACTTGACAATAAGGGTTTTGAGATACAAAAAAATGTGGACTGTAGCTGGTCCTTATATCAGATTCAATACAGGTAGGTATTCCAATATTCTGACTGAATAACTATTTTGACATGGCACTGCTTTTTCGTTGGCAGTTTTTTTGTGAGGTGAGGACTTGATTTTTAGTGACTGACATGCAGTAGTTCACTGCTCTGATGACACTGAAGCCTGAGTATTAGCCACCATACAGTTAGCATAAATTAAACAGGTTAACCAAGAATTTCTGGGTGTTAGTTGTATAGATTAGTTAGTTGTATATAGGACAGAGCAGGCTTGGATTATAGCTAATCTTTAGTCGCTAACAGGTAAAGCAAGTATCTTGCAGGTTGTGACTACTAATGCTGTGTGATATCAGGTCTGCTGAGTCAGTGAACTCTTGTCCTTTCTTAAAACATACTTTTATAGGAGAGCCTTTCCGGATTTTATTTGACTCTATTTGACTTATTTTATATTTGTCTTAAACGGGTATTTTAGTCTTTTCAATGTTTTCTTGCTTTTATAATGTATTGTTTTTTATATTATTGTCTTTTGTGTATTATTGTCTTTACACTTGTTAAAGCACTTTGTAAGTTGTTTTTGAAAAGTGGTCTACAAATAAAGATTATTATCATTATATATTCACCTCTATTAGAACAGAATGAGCTAATTGAGAAGTTTCATTTGCATTTTTTTCAATGGTACTTTAGTATGAACACTTGGAGTTAGTTTTTGTTACCTTCATAATTCATCTTCAGACAGTGCTCATTTTCCTCCTTTTCATCCTCCTCGGCCCAGTTCTCATAGTTAAATTTGGAGCCATCACTCCACATCCAAAAAGCATCCTATGAATAGAAATACACAAACATTCATGCATACATTACTAATTAGTAGATTTATTTAGCTTATTCATTTTGATAACTCAGATTTATACTTGGGTATATAAGGTGCATTGCTTCATTTTGTTTGAGTAGCTAACTGCACCCACAAATTACATTTTTATTTTGTAGTTTTGTAGTGACAAAAACAACAACTTTATTTACAGGGAAACTCACTGTTCAAAATATGTTTGTGTAAAAGACAATTTAAAAAAAAACAAATAAAATAATAATTCTAAAATATCAATGTTGATATCAGGCCAACCCATTTTAATCGGGTTCTAGCAGAAAGTTCAGTTGGGAGAAAATGTTGGTATTTGGGTATATTAGAAAATACAGTAACAGAATCTAGAAATGTACAGGGTTAGGAAATAAAATCGACTAAACCAAAACATTTCCATACAGGTATGGCATCAAAGCCACCGATCCAGGTTTCAGGGAACTCGTGGGAGTCTCCTCTGGTCAAAGCCTGGACGAAGTGATTCTCCTCAGCGCTGTGGATTGATGCCAGGTTGGCGTCTTCAAACAGACAGTAACTCTGTTGATAGAAAGAAAAGAAAGAATATGAGCAGCTAGTTCATGTCATTAGCTCTGTCACACTATCATTATGTGAAATGCACATTGCAGCCTCTAGTGGACGCTAGGGTGCTTAACAGTTGTACATTTCCCTCCATCAGTCTCCTCTTACCTCGGCTTCAGGCCATGTCTTCTCGCTGTCGATGAAGATGAAACACTGTTTGCCAAACCGGGTCCAGCCCTTGGGACAGTAGAATTCATCGTCTAGACAAAAAATATTGTAAAAATTTTAGTGACCTGCAAGTCGGGCTGCGCAATTAATCATTTAATGACTTAATTCACTATTTGGACTATGTGTGAACATTTTGTTTGCCTAATTGTATTTCCTTATGTTGATTAAAAGGGTTGTACATTTGAAGCAACTTCTATTTATAATGTAGCCTTGTTAATGTTTGATTACAGCATTTAATAAATTATTTGTAAAAATTTAACAATTCCTGTTCCCTACTGGTACAAAACATTGGTGCAATAACTCATTTATCTTATATACAGGTGCTGGTCATATAATTAGAATATCATCAAAAAATTGATTTATTTCAGTAATTCCATTCAAAAAGTGAAACTTGTATAATGTATACATTCATTCCACACGGACTGATATATTTCAAGTGTTCATTCCTTTTAATTTTGATGATTATAACTGACAACTAATGAAAACCCCCAAATCAGTATCTCAGAAAATTAGAATATTGTGAAAAGGTTCAATATTGAAAACACCTGGTGCCACACTCTAATCAGCTAATTAACTCAAAACACCTGCAAAGGCCTTTAAATGGTCTCTCAGTCTAGTTCTGTAGGCTACACAATCATGTGGAAGACTGCTGACTTGACAGCTGTCCAAAAGACGACCATTGACACCTTGCACAAGGAGGGCAAGACACAAAAGGTCATTGCTAAAGAGGCTGGCTGTTCACAGAGCTCTGTGTCCAAGCACATTAATAGAGAGGATAAGGGAAGGAAAAGATGTGGTAGATAAAAATTTACAAGCAATTGGGATAACCGCACCCTGGAGAGGATTGTGAAACAAAACCCATTCAAAAATGTGGGGGAGATTCACAAAGAGTGGACTGCAGCTGGAGTCAGTGCTTCAAGAACCACCACGCACAGATGTATGCAAGACATGGGTTTCAGCTGTCGCATTCCTTGTGTCAAGCCACTCTTGAACAAGACACAGTGTCAGAAGCGTCTCACCTGGGCTAAATACAAAAAGGACTGGACTGCTGCTGAGTGGTCCAAAGTTATGTTCTCTGATGAAAGTAAATTTTGCATTTCCTTTGGAAATCATTTATAATAAACTGGAATAAACATTTGAAATACATAAGTCTGTGTGTAATGAATGAATATAATATCCAAGTTTCACTTTTTGAATGGAATTACTGAAATAAATCAACTTTTTCATGATATTCTAATTATATGACCAGCACCTGTATACAGATGGGGGATGAAAGAAAAGAAAAACCTAATGAAACAAACTAAATGGTTTCGTTTTATTACAAGTAAAAGTCTGGCATCATTTATTATTAATACTGATGCGTCAAGCTGTAAGCAACATAATGTTGTAGCTGGTTAAAGTGGAGCTTAATACTTTATATCCTGTTGGACAGTTGAATCTATAATAATGAATTTTTTATAGCCTGCTCATGTAATAGCTTGATATTTAAGTAACTACTAACTAAATCTGTTAATAAATAGATACATAGAGTAGAAGCCCCATTATTATTTTGACAGCTTGCGGTGTATGAAAAGTGTTATGTGCTTTACCAGCTTCCCTTGCTTAGCTTATTATTATTAGCACTGCCATGTCAGAAAGGGCTATGACCGGAGCGTGCACACACATATACGTCACAAGCAGAGCCAGTCCCGACTTCCTGGGGCCCTAAGCAAAATTCTGCTATAGGGCTGCTATGGGCCCCTCTTACCTGACTCATGAGCCATGTAAACAATTGCCATTTAATCTGGCTCCACTAGGTTTACTTAATATATTAATACATTTTCAAAATTAATACTATTTATACTATGACTTGACTAAATATGTGATGCTTTTTTACTGAGAGATGTGCATCCACATTGTCCCACTAATCAACAGCTTAATAATCAATAGTCAATGTGAATCCAATGCTTTCTATCTTGCATTTGTGCAGAGTTGTAACTAAACCTTGACTGAGAGACAGATAATCACTGTCTTGTTTTAAAATGATGTGTGCCTATCACATCTGTGTAAAGACTGGAGTGGTCCTCACAGAGGTTGCTGCTCGAATTTGCGAGTTTCATTTCGTGCAAACACACATGAACGTATATTCACTCATGATGCGGTTGTCTTTTCTGTGCTGCAGTTTATAATTCCCGTATCCCATGTTTTCAAACGTATAAATAGTTGTATTTCACTCTAACATTGTTCAGGTACGCAAGTCTGGCAAGCAACCAAGACGCAGACAGAAAAGAGATGCACTGCTCAGCTGGGTTGGCAAGACAGACTAGAGAGAGATTCACACATTAACCCAATATTACTGTTATTTGCTCTCATCAGACTTTGAGAGAACACATGTTTATCTGACTGCTGGTCATTGAGGGTTTGTTTCTCTTCTCCTGCCCAGAAGGATAGTCCCTCTTCATCCTCTCATCAATGTTGGAAACATTGACACTCGCTATAACCTTTGACACGTTTTTGCTATCTTTCACAACATTAACCACGTGTCCTTTCACAATGTTAACCAGTAGTTTTATTTTGAAAGGGTAACGGGGGGGGTTGCATATTGATAACTTGACTGGATATTGCAGATGTATTGTTGCTAACTTGCCTGCGGAGCCGTATAAATCCAAAAACATTGCAAAAAGGGTACCAGGGCGTAAAAAAGTGACGCAAAGGGGTCTTGACCATTTTACTGGGGCACAGCACACATAAATACAGATGCACGTGTCACAGTAACATGGGCCTAGCGATGTTTATAAAGTATAGTATTTGTCTCTAAAATATGCATAATTAAAAAGACAAAACGGAAACACTCAATTAAAGTACCTCAAAATTGTAAATGTACTCAGTTACATTAACTGCACCACAAATTTAATCTTCATGTCAAAACTACAGCATCTAAATGTGACACACACATTATCATCACTCACCACAGTCAACAGGTGTGCTCCCTGGTGGTGTCTTCGTGTCTGGTATCTCCTCTCCGGTGAAGACATTGACGCACCAGCAGTACCCAGTCGACCCTGAGCACTGCTGCGGGAGAAAATTCCCGTCGTCGTTGCACTGTGGGACAAACTCTCCAATGTGGCTGTCTTGGCTATGCTCCCTCACATGCTCGCAGAGGCCATCGTCCTTGCTGCCGTTGAACAGGTGGTTGGCTCGGCTCAGGCTCAGAAGGGTGCAGAATGTGAGAAATACACTGAGCGACTTCATGGTGATGATGATGGAGATGAAGTGGGAGTGTGGCTTATCAAAACAAATGAGCAAAGATTAATCACACTTTAATTAAATAAAGTAATGACTACAATAATTTTCAGGGAACAATCCCAAGTAGACTCACTTGTTTCAGGATCAGCAGGTGTGTTGAGGATGTCTCTGCTGCCTGTCCGCCTTAAATCCTCATCACTGACCTTTTCTCCTGCGTCATTATTCCATTTCCCACGGCTGCACCTCTAATTTTACACTAACAATGGCCCTTTTCATAAGAGTGACCCAGCAGAGCTGCAGAGGTGGATATTGCTTTCTCTTTACCTTATTTATTTACTGTATATCAGCAGAGAAGCCCTTGTGTATAGACTTGTTCTCTTTCTGGCTATTGTAATCATGATGAGTTTTATGTTACATAATTTCTTTATCTGCCTTTTCATTTAATTGTTCAGTGTCTCATGTATCTTTGCTTCCCAGACGATCATGTCTGCTTATACTTTCTAAAGCTGCTCTAACTTTCCGACCTTGTATTGTGCAAATCTGGGTTACAGACAATTTTTGCACATAAAACACTGAGACCACTTTGAACTGGCTGGATTATATATCATCCAGCACATACAACACAAAATGAATCTCTTACTTTTTTCTGTCTCGTCCAGATATCACTCTTAACCTAATAAGTAGCCTGTTTCCCACACTGCCCACTGGTTATCAATTAATTAAGTATGACAACCAGTGAATAACTGATTAAACCTTGTACAAAAAATCTGAATTATGTCTTTAAGGAAAAAACATATTTAGGTCACAACAAAAGTCAACAGCCCTCTTGCTAACCCAGGGCTGTAGTCCAGTATCCTCTGTGACTTTTTTGTATGAAGAAAGAAATATTATATTACCGTGTGTTTTGAATGTCCTTGCTCAAGACAGTTATATCATCTCATTGTTATAAATACATAAAACATAAATGTCAGGACAGAATGTCTTGACATTTATGTTTTATGTCACTCTCATAGCAATCAGATAACCAGCTGATCCCAGAGCTGTGGGGAGAACTGATCTAATTAGGTCAATGTTTTTTATTACTAAAATTAAGTGTTTCTGCCAGCTTGATTATATTATACAGTCAGATGTTTGCTAAAAATGCAGGTGCAAGGTGATCACAAGCAGGCTGCATAAAATGTTTAAAATGTGATACTTTTAGACACATTTGATGTATGTGATGGATGATAATATATGGAGATTTATCTAAAAATCATGTGTGTAAACAGACAATCAGTGCATAAATGTGTAATCTGTGTAAAATAAAAAAAACCTTCCACAAATAAAACAACAAATTTAAACAAAATAGAAAATGTGCAAATTCCATCCATTGTTTTATTCTAAATTACACATTTAAACACGGATTGTAAATCTGTTCAAACAAATAATATTTTGATGTGTCATGGTCTATGTTTTATTAGACATTAGATTTTCTTTTTGAACCTACAGTTACGGGTAACCTCAAACCAGAAGGTACAAACAGAAAATAATGTCTTGGAATGTCTCTGCAATAATGATTCAGTGTTAGCACTTATAACAAGTAGGAAATATAAAAATGAGTAAAAGATCTCAATACTTCTTCCACCACTATTCTTGGACGACACTACATTTTTGCAACATAGTTGTCACCTCATCTCAACCGAGGTTACTTTGCAGTGTTTTTGTTGTGTTGGTAGCAGGTTTTGTTCAGGTTTTTACAGTTTTTCACTAATTTAATTAAATGTTCAGATACATTGCTGCACAATAATTTCTTAACTTCATTATGCTCAAAATAAAACTAGTGGTTAACGTTGAGAAATGGCATGTGGTTAACATGAAATGTCGCAGTTTAGTTAGGCTATGGCACCAAAACGCATGGTTAGGTTTAGGAAAAAGGTCATGTAAGGTTAAGTAACGTTACTTGCGTAACCACCTCTGTTCGTTAGCCTTCCTGGCTGTTGTGACGACGTCGTTGGAGACAAATTAAGCTAAGCCTGAATGACCGTTGTTGACATTGTCACATGAGACCAAATGGCCAAATAATTTTCCTTATCCCCTGTAGTGTTGGTGTTTTTCTCAATGGTCCAGTTTGGGTTTCTAAGGTAAAGGTACTTTATTGTCACCTACACATACATGTAGTGAAAGTCATTCTCTACATTTAACCAATCACCCGTGGGAGCAATGGGCAGCCACAATGTCACTGGTCAATGGCACTGACTAAAGAACCTAACATGGTTTTGATGGCGGGGGAAACCGGAACATCCAGAAGACACACATGCAGACACGGGGAGAACATGCACACAAAAAGGGGTTTGAACCCATGACCTTGTTGCTGTGAGGCTGGTTGGTATGTTGTTAGCTCAGTGGTGCAGGGTTCTGATGACCCCTATCATATGTTACAGAGGATGGTGATAGTCAAAGAGGATGTATCGGTCTGTGTGTGGAAGTTTCCTGTATACTCCAATGTTCCTGCTGACATCCTCGCATGTGAACTTAATGTTACTGTCCACCAGGGTTTATGTGTGCAGTAAAGGCTTGCACTTCCTGGGTTTTAATTTTTGCTCCATGCTGTTCCTTTGATGGTTTGTTTCCTGCTGTAAAGTGAATGTACAGATTGGTGGCCAATTAAAGGAAAAGTGTCCTAGTACAAATGGTGATTATCTTTAGTTTATTTTTTGCAATTTCATGTAGGTGTAAAATGAATCAATACTGCACTTGATAAAGGAAATTGTGTTTGTGTTTATCAATGTATAACCTAGTGGCCCTGTGATGGACTGGCGACCTGTCCAGGGTGTACGCCGCCTCTCGCCCAATGTTAGCAGGGATTGGCTCCAGCCCCCCACAACCCTGTACGCAGGATAAGCAGTTGACGATGGATGGATGTATAACTTGGGACGATCAGAAACCAACACATAGACATTGATGGAATGAAGGTAATTTTTTTGTATAGAGCCTGGGAAGTTTGCTGATAAGAACTTTTTAATCACACTTCCCAGAGCTCTGCCTGTCCGGATCCTCTGGGAGTCAAGGATAAAGGTCTAGCAGAGGGGTGTCTCGCTATGCAATGGTACATGACCCGTGTATAGCAAGGTCAGTACTAGTGGGTAAAAGTGTAATGGCATAGTGCCATTAATTCATAACCAATCACAGATACTGCTCTTATCCAAAGAAGGTTAATGTCAAGTGAAACTGGACTTGGCTGAAGATACTAGAAGAAATTTCGTCCATCATCCAAAGGACTTCTTCCTTCCTTCCCTAGACGTTAACCTTCTTTGGATAGATATGGCCTGGATGTCTGAGAATCTTCACAGACATACTGCTCTTAAAAATTAGAAGCATTTCCAATGGGCTTCCTTAATGTCACACCACAATTCCTGTTACTTTTATCTGCAGTGTGCTCTGAAAGAAGGTGCATCATAACACCTACCTAATTAATGAGAGAGGATGACGAATGTGAGTAGACATACAGAATTAATTCTATCTTCCTCTTACGTTCTTTACCTGTGGCAACTGATTCATCTTTCTTTCACTATATTTCCCAGTGGAGGAAACACCACACCATCTCAGGCCAGAATCAATCATTCCAGCAAATGTGAGTAAATTTTGCATTCAATTGCAGTTGAAAATATGAACATCCAAAAGCTATTTTCATCAAACAAAACTATGTTGAAAACTAAAAAGTATTTAAATAGCCTGCTACAACTTTACACGGTACCTGAAAGTTGAATTTTCAAGTAGAGTAAATTTTGTTTACCATTCTCCATGTGTGTCACTTTGTTACTCAGATGGGAGCAGAGAAAACCAACAGAAATGCAACTTAAACTGACCACCATAATCTGCAAACCTGCTTACTGCTGTTTCTTTTTAATGCCTCTACTGAGTGACTTTTTATGACATGTAGACGTGCACATGTAAAAACTGTGCTTTGAAGAGAATCTTAACTGTTAAAATATAATACTGTTAATGATACCCTCAATTTAACAAGAAATAGGCAAGCCTAGCTGAAGTTGGACTGCCACTGTGTGAATGCCACTGTGTGAATCACTGAAATTGAACAATTTGTACCACGTGCATGTCTGCATATATGCATCAGTAAAAAATTCACTAAATTTGCCAAGGGTAAATTACAAAGAGACCATGTTTCCTATCGTCTTTCGCTCTTATTACCTATATTATTATTAGTTTAAATGCACAACCACAATTCTTAATTTGGACTTCAGTAATGTTTTGAACAAGTGTTCTTGCTTGACTCTGCCTTCAGTGTCCCCCAAGTAGCTAACTAGCTAGTTAACATTAAATATCTGTGCTGGGTTAATGGTAGGGTTGTGCGCTGGGTTTGGCAGCATCTATATTGTGGGCAAATCTTTGGATCGAGTATTTAGATGCAGTAAGCTTAAAATGATTAAAGCAACATTATGTAAGACATGTTGTTTTTTTGCGATTTGGTGCCCCCCAGTTTCAAAGTGCAAATCACTTATATATACATTTTGGTATTTAAATGCTGATGCTGTCTTGATCTGTTGTTTGCAGTGAATAATACAAGGACCACAGCCACACCAACCAGTGCCCACAACACAGACTTCCATGAATGTGAGAAAGAAATTAGCCTTGCACAGCCATTCTAAATTTTGTGAGCTTAGTGGAGTTAATTATAGGTTATAACAAAGAGATATGTTGATCCAAGCACCACCTATTGTGAAACATTATGTGTGAATTGAAGGGGAATGGGGAAGTTCAAGTTTCAGAGGGACAGCTAGCTATAATTCTAGCAAAAGTCTGGTAATGTATACTTGTATATGTTTTTATGAAATTATTATGATTTATGGATTTACAGTGAAACAGTTAAACAAGCAGGGCGGGAGCAGAACAGGTGAAACCATGGTGCAATCAGGCAAACACACACACACATGCAGGTGCAACTCGTTCTCATCTCAGTGCATCATGACATACGCTTTCAGACAGCGCGATAAAGCGTAATTATTTGACACTAAAGGTACCCTTCAGCGTCCGTATGAAACACCACCATTTGCTACATTGCTGCAACACAAAGGAAGCTAAGGGTCAAGCTTAGGGATAGCAGGTGCATGCATAAAGTGCATGCATCAATAATAATAAAGCATCTTCAGAGATACTTTATTATTATTGATACATGATAATCACTGACTAATGCAATTTATTTTTATCTCCTAGTTGCTTGTGCTGTACTGTGGGTGTATTACTAGGCCTTTGATGGTAAAGTGCGCCTCCCAACTTGAGCCAACTAAAACTCAAAATCACAATATGTTTAACATGATTTGCAGTAATGTTATCTTACATGTTCAACAGAATGAAAAGGTTTGTTGTTTCCTAAAAGAAAGCAGATGCTGACTCAAACACCTTTCTGATTTTTTGGACTCCTTTTCTTTTTTTTTTAGCTGCTATAGTGCATAATCAGTAGGCATAGATGCAATTTTTATGTGAGGTATTTTCTCAGATATTTTGTATTGGTAAAAAATAATTTCTGCACACATAGTATTGAATAGGCACACATATCAAACACTTTCCCCCCTGACAGGCTCTGTACGTTTATGTTTTTGTTTTCATTTATAGCATTTTATGCAATTACAATCTCTATACACAGTGAAATTTATAAATTCCTTATTTTGTGACACAAACCTTTACAGTTCACAGCATTTTCAATTATTTAATGAAAAGAAATCAGATGTGGATTGTTTTATTGATATTAGAATTCAAATTCTTGCAGCATAGTGGAAGAAGAGATAATATGCTGACCCAGATATGACACAAGTGGCACAAGACTGGTTGGCCCAGAATCAGAGTGAAAGATGGAAAGATCTGGAACAATTCGTTGCAGGTGGATTGACTAGACTTGAAGCATATCTAGGATTGACATATCTTTGCAAACAAAACAAAACTCAAAACTAAAAGCAATGCTTGTATAATATATAACAAAGTCAAGGAAAGAAAGCAGGGAGAGAACTGTTGGATCCAGCGCGTGTAGGACTGAGGACTTTGTCAGATGTTTTTGACTGTCAAGTCTGGGTTCAGATCTTCTTGGTACAAACAAAAGGGAGAGTATCATTGCAAGACTCAGGTTCCCACTTCAACTCATCTGCAATATGGAAAAAAGACACAAACACTTGATTTCAAGAATTTCAAGCTGCAACTACAAAGAAAATGTACATAATCAGCCCCGAAGATAGTAATGCACAACTTGCGACCTAGGGCATGGGAGGCAGACGGGCTAACATGGAGGCTAAAACCCATGGGCACTAGTTTCTGTTGCTAGCGCATCTCTTAAGGCATCAGAAGGTGAGATTTCCTCACTGCACCACCTAGCTGTTACCGTTACGTGTAGCTGGTCCTTAGATCACACTCTACACAGGTTTATTAATCTTCTGACTGAATGACTATTTGACTTGCTGTTGCCTTTTTGTTGCCAGGTAGCAGTTAGCATAAAGCAACACAAAACCACTTTTTGAGATGCTTTATTTTGCCTTTGATTAATTCTGGTTCCAGTCTAATTGTTCATTACTTGCCTTTTTCCAAATAAGACTGGGTGATTCTGTCCACTAGAACCATTAGCAATCGTGCTCCCAGTTTGAGATGTTTTTTTTTTTATGTTTCTAGTGTTTTCTTTAACAGGTATTTAACAGACGACAACATGAAACAAAATAGGTGGCTTTGGACAGAGCTTATGATCATAGCTAAACGCCATCCGCTAACCGGTAAAGCAAGTTTCTCGCAGGTTGTGACTACTAATACTGTATGATATTTTCACCTCTATTAGAAAAGAATGAGCTAATTGAGATGTTTAATTTGTGCTGTGGTAGAAGTTATGATCCGTGATTTAGAAATCAGAGCAGCTTGTTGATTACCTCCCACAAAGAATGTGACTGGCTCAGTTGTTTCTTAAGTTTGGAAAACAAAGTATATTCTCATAGATTATTATTACCACGTGAAAGCCAATCCAAACTTATTTTACAACACTTGGAGTTAGGTTGATATTTTCCAGGGTTGAAATAGTGAAATAGGTTGAAAATTAAAAGTTTGTGTGTGTATGTGTGTAATTTATTACATCCGTCATTCATCTTGAGACAGTGTTCATTTTCCTCCTCTTTATCCTCCTTGTTCCAGTCTTGGTAGTTAAACTTGGAACCGTCACTCCACAACCAATGAGAGTCCTATGGATAGAAAGACGCAATGATATACATACATCAGTAATTAGTAGAATGATTTAGCTTATGATTATGATCACCCATTAATACTTTGAAGGTGCACTACTTTATTTTGTTCCAACACTTGCAAATTACTTGATTTTTATTTTGTAGTTTTTAGGTTTACAATAACTTGTTTTTTTAATTTTCAGAAAATAATAATTCTCAAATATCAATGTTGTTATCAGATCAACCAATATTAGTTGGTCTCTAGCTGACAGTTGAGTTGGGAGAAAATTTTGGGATTTGGGTATATTAAAAAATGCAGTAAGAGAATCTAGAAGTGTACAGGGTAAGCTAATGATATCGACTAAACCAAAAGATTTCCATACGTGTATGGCATCAAAGCCACCAATCCAGGTTTCAGGGAAGACGAAAGAATCTGCTCTGGTCAAAGATTGGATGAAGTGATTCTCCTCATAGCTGTGGATTGATGCCAGGTTGGCGTCTTCAAACAGGCAGTAACTCTGTTGGTGACAAGACAAAGAGTATGAGCAGCTAATTCATGTCACTTGCTCTGTCACAACACTTTCATTTTGTGAAATGCACATTGCAGATTCTAGGGGATGCTAGAGGACTTAACATTAGGTGCGTTTGAGATGCCGGCGGCTGACTTTCGTCGACTTGATAGTCTAACGTGAGCTGCAGGTGACTGCAGGGGCGGAGAATTAAAACTGATTTTGCCTGGTCTAGGCATTTGCAAAGAAAAATGCCTTGAGACTAGGCAAAAGTGTGGTTCCAACTTGGTGCAGCCAGGGAAAACCAACTGCCTGACCTCCATCATTCCTTACCTCAGCTTCAAGCCACGTCTTCCGGCTGTTGATGAAGACGAAACACCGTCTTCCAAAGCGTGACCAGCCCTCGGCGCAGGGCTCTACACAGTGAAAAGTGTTCAAGTATCAAGTAAGAGTTTATTAATAAATAATTACTGCACACTGCCCCTGTACCTTCTTCTCTTTCTCCTCGGTGTTCCTCCTCGTCGTCCTTCTCTCCATCCTCATCAACATGACTGTCACCATCGTGTCTCTCTTCATCACCTCCACTGAGCTGAACAGCTAATAGACATACAGACAAACACAGATTCCTCGCCTATAGAAGGATGTTGTTTTTGTTTGACAACACAACTGTTGTTTGTATAAATAATAAATAAATTTGCCACATTTCGCTGCCTCTTTTTGTACTTTGTGTACCATTTCTTTTTCTTTGCCAAATTCACCGTCTCTGTCGCACGTGTCACACAAACCTGGAGAGTAAACTCCTTTGAACGGCGCCATTGAGCCGATCAGATTTCAACAAAACAATGAGGATCATGCTAAGTACTGAGCTTGTATCACTCCTCAATATTGAAAGGGTTATTTTGGCCTGCCCGGTCGTGGTTCATAAAGTAACACGTTAGATAAAAACTTTTTTACCACCAGTCTTCCCAAACCTCCATAATGTCCAGCTAGCCAAACCCAAAAGCTGCTTGTCTTGACCCTATTTTCACAGTTTTTGCATAACGGGCAGCTCAAGAGGCCCAACGGAGACACTGGCCCAACAGGATTTCTCCCTGTGCTCCAGGTGGCTAGTCGAACTATGTTTTCTATGATCGATTAGCAGCAGGGGTGGGCGGGGGTGATAGAAGTGATCTTGTCCATCATATTTTCCGTATTTTATCTGTTTTTAGGGACATATGTGAGTGAAATGGTCACATAGAGCCCTGCCTTGGAGCAGTGGATTTCAGGGTCTACACAAAAACTATTTTAGTGACCTTTAAGTGACTCAAATCACCATTTTGATCCAGCAGTATTTATTAAACTGTGTGAACATTGTATTTGCCTAATTTAATTTCTAATGTTGATTTAAAGGTTTGTACATTTGAAGCTAAACTTCTAATTATAATGTAAATAAATAATAAATAATGCCCTATTTATGTGGCTGAAGCATAATTATTTGTAGAAAAAACAAACAATCCCTGTTAAATTGCGATGATGCTGTGCATTGTTACTACAGTCCCATTCTTCACACTTCCACCAGATGGCACCAAACTCCATTTAAAATTTGCTTAAGTTTAGATAAACTCTTGTGGTAATAATTCTGAAAAAATCATTGTGATGTCATTATTTATGCAATACATTACTATCATTTTGGCAAACATTTTGCAGCCCTACCTGTACAAAACATTGAAATAATAAATAAAGTGTATTATTTCAAATAGTGTATATACAGATGGGTGACAATAGAAAGGAAAAACTTAGTTGAGTTTGATGAATACAAAAATGTGAATGTGAATCAAATGCTACAACTTTTACAGTAACCAGAAGTCAGTTTCACAACTATGGAAGATTCAGGAGCAAGACGATGCTCTCCACAACCATCTCCATCAGCTGTGTGTTCATTTATGTCGGGCTATGATTATTTTTCTTTCTATCTGCTGATCAAGCGATACCACACTATACAAAATACTTGTTTACAAGTAAAAGTCCTGCATTCATAATTTTACTTACATATGAAAGTATTAGCAGCAAAAATCTACTTTTAAGTATTAAATGATTGATGACAGAAAGACACCTAAAAACCTTAAAATGGATCATTGTTACTAATGCGTTAAAGCATTTTATTGCTGTAGCTGGTTGAAGTGGCCATCAATTTAATACTTTATATCCTGTTGGATTGTTTCATTTGTAATAATGCATATTCAACAAAATCTTCATGTCTTCATAGAAAACTACAGCAAACATGTAAATGTGACACAACAAGATATCGTTTCTGGCAATAGGCAAAATTACCAGGTCAGTGTATCTTTATAAACATGCGTTTTACAAAAGCCCCCTGGGACGTCTACGTCACCTTCACATAACTAATTACACCACACGTCATAACTCACCACAGTTTACAGGTGGGGTCCCAGGTGGTGTCCTAGTGTTCGGTATTTCCACTCCAGTAAAGACATTGACGCACCAGCAGTACCCGGTCGACCCTGAGCACTGCTGCGGGAGGAAATTCCCGTTACCATCACACTTCGGGACAAACCCTCCGATAGTGTTGTAGCTGTGCTCCCTCTCACGCTTGCAGAGGCCTTTGTATAAACAAGAACTATGCTTTCAACACAATAAGTAACCTCAGTTGGACACATAGACTGTATTAAAGAAGTGGACGTAGTCATCGTGACGTCATCCCTTGGTTTGTGGACTGCTGATTTGAAGCCATGAGTTTGGCCGATAGGCTGCCGCCATGTTGATTTTTTGCAACCAGCAGCACGTGACCATATTTGGATGAGACGGTGGAGCAAATGGCCATGTGTGGAGCTAGCTAGCTTGCTTAGCTAGGTGCATCTGTAATTCACATTAACTGTCATTTTAACAGGGCTGATAACTTTGTCTAGCAAACAACAGTCGAACAGCCAACTCAACAAATACGCTTTTTCAACGGCGCTGGTTATATTTACACAGTGCCGTGGGTACAAGTCACTCTATACTGACTGACAGGTTGCCATGGTAACGACTTGTCAATTACAGATAATCCCTCCCTGAAGTATACTCTGCTTTATTGTCTATTTTTCTTTAAATGGGACCATAATTTACTAAATGAACATCATATTGTATTGAAGAAGTCTTAAAACTGGCGATTGAGACCATAAACTCATCAGGAAAGTTTTCAGTGAGGTAATAATTCAGATGAGAAGTAGCCGGACTTTTTTTTTGCAACCAGAAGAGTCGCCCCCTACTGGCTGTTCGATAGAAAGCAGGTTCAAGGGACTTCCGTGTTCAGTTGCATCAGTTGCTGACAGGAAGCTTCCCGCTTGGTTGGACAAAGATCATTTGTGTGTTGAGCTTTTATAAGTAGGTAAAAGTAGAAAAAGTACCACACAATTAATTATATTCCATTACAAGTCAAAGTGCTGGGTCTGTGTACTTTGTGGCCAAAGGGTTTTCGTTTTGAAACGAAAAAAAGAACGAAAAATGGCTCGTTTCCCAATTACCATTAGTAGGCTAAATAGGTAAACGAAAAACGGGAAACAAACCGTTTCTCGTTTTGATATTAAAAAACGGAAAACAAACAACAATCTCGTATCCGAGTTTCTTTGATGTGTTTATAGATGGAAATCGGAAATTCAAATAGGAGTGTAGGCTATAGTCATAGTCCTCAATTTTGCATTGGGCTTCGGGCAGCGTGGTGGTGCAGTGGTTAGCACAGTTGCCTCATAGCAAGAAGGTCGAGGGTTCAGTTTCTGTGTGGAGTTTGCATGTTCTCCCCGTGTCCGCATGGGCTCTCTTCGGGTGCTCCGGCTTCCTCCCACCAAAGACATGCAGGCTACGTTATTTGGTGAGTGGTTGTCTGTCTATGTGTGGCCCTGCGATGGACCAATCCAGGCAACCTCTCACCCAATGTAAACTGGGATTGGCTCCAGCCCCCTGGGACCCTGTAGGCGGGATAAGCGGTTGACGATGGATGGATGCATTGGGTTTTTATCATGTCTTTCCTTTCCCTATTTACTAATGATAATTGGGAAACAAGCCGTTTTTTGATTGTTGTTGTTTTCACTTCAAAACGAAAATCCGTTGCCCATAAAGTACACGGAAAGTGCTGCATTCATAATCTTGTTCAGAAAACTACAACAAACATCTAAATGCGACACACACATACACCTCATCACTCACCACAGGTAAAAGGTGTGCTACCCGGTGGTGTCCTAGTGTTCGGTATCTCTACTCCGGTGATGACATTGACGCACCAGCAGTACCCGGTCGACGCCCAGCACTGCTGCGGAAGGAAGTTCCCATTGTCGTCGCACTGCGGGACGAACCTTCCGACATCGATATTGCTTTGCTGAGACATGCTTTCGCAGAGGCTCTCTGTCTTGTTGGTGGTGTAAAAGACAGGGCTGGCTCGGCTCAGGCTCAGAAGGGTGCAGAGTGCGATAGACACACTGAGTGACTTCATGGTGATGGTGGAGATGAAGTGCAGCTTGCCAAAACACAGGAGCAAAAAAGTTAGAAACTGTCTGACACATACTGGATTTCTCTAAAAGATATCACTCTTAAACACAGTTTAATTAAATAAAGTAATAATATCAGGATGTTTCAGGAAACAATCCCAAAGCAGACTCACCTGTTTCAGGATCAGCAGGTGTGTTGAGGATGCCTCTGCTGCCTCTCTGCCTTTTATCCTCATCGCTGACCTTTCTCCTGTGTCATTATTCCATTTCCCATGGCTGCACCCCTATTTTTACACTAACAATGACCCTTTTCAGCAGAGCGACACACCAGAGCTGCAGAGGTGGATATTGCTTTCTCTTTACCATATTTATTTACTGTATATAAGCAGAGAAGCCCTTGTGTATGGACTTGTTCTCTTTCAGACCATTGTAATCAGGATTAGTTTTATGTTACATAATTTCATTATGGCCTTTTCATTTCATTGTTTGCAGTAACTCATTGTATCTTTGCTTCCCAGACGATCTTGTCTGTTTGTACCTTCTAAACTTGCTCTTTCTTTACAACCTTGTATTGTGCAGATCTGGGTTATAGACTATTTTTGCACATAAACACTGAGACCTCTTCGAGCTGGCTGGATTACATATGATCCAGCACATACAACACAAAATGTATCCCTTATATTTTTGTGACTAGTCCAAATATCTAATTTAAATGCTAATAAGTAACCTGTTTCCCACACTGCCCACTGGTTATCAATTTATTTATAACCAGTGAGTAACTGATGCCACCTTTATTAAAAAATCTGAAATCTCTCTTCAAAGAAAATAAGGTAATAAACAATAAATTAGTCTACTTCTTAAAATGAACAGACAAGACGACCCACGGCTGTAGATTTGTGTGTTTCTCTTGTTTTGTGTTTCCGGTGAACCAAAATCTGAAAGTGGAGCCCTTGATGAAAACCAGTCTCCTCTGTGTCTCTGTGTTTTAGATGAAGAAAGAAATATTAAGTTACCACGTGTTTTGAATGGCAACACTCAAGACAGCTTTTGTTATATCATCATATTGTTATAAACACATAATAAAACGCAAATGTCAAGACATTCTGTCCTGTCACCATGACTTTCATATTACTACGATGACCAGCTGATCCCAGAGCTGTGGAGAGAACTGATCTAATTAGCCAGCTACGTATATAGCTCAATATTTGTCAGATTACTGTGGGGGGAAAAAGTCTCAAATTTTCTGCCTGTCGTACTGGACGTTACATTATAAAATGGTCAGATATTTAATAAAATCTAGACATAAGGTGATCAAAAGCAGGCTGCATATAGGTTTTAAGTGTGATACTTTTATTTCCCTTTCATGTTGAATGATTTATCTCAATATTAATTGTGTGAAAAGATCAACAATCCGTGTGTAAATTTGTAATCTATAAATGTAAAATACCTTTCACGAATAAAGATTTTTAAACTCATAAAAATGTTTTGCAAAAATAAAACTGTCTGTGAATACATTAATTTACAAATAAATGAAAAGCATTTTGAATGTCTTTGAACATGTCACGTTCTGTCTGTCGGCCATGTTTATTTTGCTGGTCGGTGTACTTGTGTGTGTCTGTCTCTGTACCGGCCTGCCTCTCTGTTACCCCCTGTTGTCTCTGCCTGCGTCGTTAACACACACTGCACTGATGAAATTAATAAAATAAATTGTCTGCAACAGATTTACAGACTGTTACATGCAACACAGTCATTGTGTGTTTTCCCCTTATGACAGACAATTGACTTCATAAACAAAAATACATTTTAGCGTTGAATTGTGACTTGGTTGACTCTGAATGTAATGTAATGTTATGCCTCCTTGTCCTGAATTTCACCTGTGCTGTTTCACCATGCAAAAGTGGCTAAGGCGCTTTAAAACTAGGGCTTGACATTAACAAACATTAACACCATAAATTTTGTATGATGAGAAGGAATATTCGTATCAGTTATTAATTTTGGTCTTTTTTTTTTCTTTTGCAGGTTGTCGACACCTTCATCTAATGAAGAACGCTTCAGTTGCTGATGGCTCTGTCCACGTTCAACAGGTACATCCTGTGAATTTCAGTGTATCCATCTTGGAATCAGCGCAAAACCTTTCAAAGGATGCTGTTTTTGGAGGCACTGGAAAAGATGCTGGTGTCTCCCTACAATGCCTCTGCAGCCATGGTGGCACAGCAGCAACCAGAGGAAATCGTAGACACAAGTGGGGACCAAGGCAGAGGCACCAGGAGGAAGTTTTGCAATTTCTGCGAAGGGAACAAGAGCAAAGTTTCCACCGTTTGCACCCAGTGTGTCTTTGGCTTTGTACTCTCTGTCTCTCTCTGCATTGCCGGTGGAGCTACCACGATAGGCTACTATCCTAAGCTGTGACCCACATCATCCTGAGTAATGCTGAAAAGTTTAAACTTAAATCAAGAGAGAACTGGTGTGTGGGGGTCGCGGGTTTGTGTCGCATGAACATTACGTCGCGGCAGTTATGTGTGGCGTTGCTACGGCGACCAGCTACATTGAAGGGGTAGTATCTGTAATGAAAAATGGAGGCCAAAACTGAGTCGAGGTGAGTTGAGCTGGTACCAGCGGGAAAAAAAGGGGTTTCACCGACTGGATGAGACAAGCAGGTGGAAATCAAAGTTAATTGAAAACACTTGATCAGGTAGAAATCTCACCACAAATCTAAATATCTTAACTTCAGCACCTCTGATAAACTGCAGCTCACAGTCCCAAACAGAGCAAAGTTGCACCGCAGATTTTACGTTTTCATATTGCAAAACCACAACTACATTACAACTCTGTCACAACAAAAACTTTCTCTTGTGGCGCCCTCCTGACATTTTGCACCCAAGGCAACCGCCTATGTCGCCTACATCACGGGCCGGCCCTGACCTTAATCAAACCTTTTCATTACTCTGACAATTATTTTCTTGATTATTTGCTTGGTCTACAAAATGTTTGTGTGTGAAAGTGACATTTCGGAAAGCCAGGACATTCCAGTAAAGTGATGACAATTTTGGTGATGTGAGGACACTTGTGGGGACATTTTAAATGATGTTCTTAAAAGGGTTTTTCTTTAGAGGGTGTTTTGAACATTTAAGAACCAATGGCAATACTTCCATCCATCCATCCATTGTCAACCGCTTATCCTGCGTACAGGGTCGCTGGGGGCTGGAGCCAATCCCAGCTGACATCAGGCTAAAGGCGGGGTACACCCTGGACAGGTCGCCAGTCCATCACAGGGCCAATGGCAATACTTTTGAGTCATAATGAAATAAGTCAAATATTCCACATTTAATTATTAAATTCTACTCTAAATAGTTTTTTGTAACTTGTAACAAAGACTTGTTTCCATCTCTTCTTTTTCCTCAGTTAGAAATTATTGTACTTTACTCTCTTACGAAAGTAAAACATGTTTGCTATATGCTTATTTGCCTGTCAAGATTTTACGAGCGGGGGCAAAGGAGAACAGATGGTTAGAGCCTGAAAGCCAGGGACAAAGCGGAAGTGATTGTGGTCACGGTTCTGTACATACAGCGGTTACAGTATATTATGAAACAGAAACCGCACACAAGTTAATACGATAATACAACATGTGGCTGTTTTCCAAAGTCATACTTAAGAGAGGAGTTGATCAAAGAGAGTCAAGTCATGTGATTTTCTTAAAAATATGATAAAATTATAAAAATAAAAATATTATTAATTATTTGACCTTATGTGTCTAACAAGTCTGAAAATGTGCAAAAGATGAATTTTCTGTACTTTTCTTTAAACATGCACATTTTTAGAAGGCACACACTCCCACAGGTTTCCTCCCGAAAGTACATTTTTTTGCTCACTACCTCTTTTTAAACTGGGCTCCAGCTGTCCCCTCAGAGACTTTACTTCCTCTGTATGGAGTCATAAAGACGCTCTCTCAATGCATTCTCTTGACTTTCAATTTTAATGAGTTTTTATCTCATTATCAGGAATCAGCTCAACAAAATATCAGGTAAGGCAACACAGACTTACATATTATATGAGAAACAGTGGACTCATTAAGAACTGGATTAAGAACGTGAAATATACTTGTTGACTTCATGGATAATGTTTTTGTGCAGACCAAAGGGGGAAGTAATGGTCTGAACACATATTAAACAACTACAAAAGAGAAAGGCATAACTACCAGGAGGAAGGGGTAATGAAAAAATGAAATGATTGTACAGGTTCATCAGAAAGTAAATCACATTTGGATTGATATGCCATCAAGCGTGAAGTCTGACTGATAACTCTAACGCTGTTTCAATTAGTTTTCCTTTTTATGACAACAGACACATGTCAGGGTAAGGGAAGCCGTTGAGCTAATGAGGGCTATAAAGTAGAATAACTGGAACATTAGTTAATGCCCGTGAGGGGGATTTCCAGCAGCGTCATTTCTATCGGTTGTATTTTCTGTCTGTCACCACCAAGCCCGAAATCAGATGAATTGTCTGCAAAAGTGTTGACTGCATAAACATTATTATATGGCTGAAAATAATGTTGACGGGACAAAAAGTATCATGAGATTGGTGCAACAACGGACCTTTTCTACGAAAGTATAATGTATTATTATCCATCTTAATGGCACTGCTACTAACTGCAGGCTCTGCCATTAGTTAGTAAGCTCAGTTTGCGGTCCTTTTAGCTTACTCTATGTGGACCAGGAGCTCGGAGTACCAGAGGAGTTCTGGTGTTTTACACCACAAGCATTTTGGACCGCCAGGAGTAATAATAGCTTTTTTCAGCTTTTCAGTGGCTTCTCCTTGGAACATCTCTCGTCATCATGGATTCATTACATGAAGTTAACATGAAGAAAGAGTCCCTCCTTGATGTGAGGCTCTTCAGATCTCAACAACCTGTTTGAGTTTGATATCATATCGGTGACACAACTGATGGCGTATCGCCACATTTACTTTTTTTGTGATAAAGTCACTAAGTTATTTGCTAGACAGCAGTGGAGTGTTTCAGTGGTCCAATAAGTTTGACCACGACTGTAAATACTGTTGTTTTTACGTAAAATCAAATGACCTGCCTCTAGGGAAATTGGACTTGCTACTTTTCTCTTTTTAAAGCATGTGAAATTGTGTGTGTGTTTCCCATTTGGCCACCACCCCTGTTAAACATTAATAAATCATCTACTAGGTACAAACATACTTTATACACATATTTTTGGTGTGTGCACAACTGAACAAACACACATGACGTTTATACATCTGGGACGTTTCTGTTCAGGATGTTAAGACAAATGAAATTCCTGTCTGCTTGTTGTTTTCATTCCCTTTGGAAGAAGTGTGTACACAAAGGCTTTTTGAAAGTCACAATAAACGCTGAAAGCTTCCTTTTTTTTAATCAAATCCAACTTCCTCCCTGGGTTTCTGTTACTTTTGTTTCTTGCTTCCTAATGATTATACAGTATTCACTTTCCTTCTCATTTACTTTCTTACTCAATTCACTATCTGATAAATGCATCCACGCCATCACTCTTTTTCTTTCTTACGTGTTTCCATTAAACTTGTCTTTTTTTCCACACAGTATGGGACAGCCAACCAACCTTTTCCTCACGCTGCTCTTCCTCCTCCTCTCTCCCTGCTGGGGTCAGAGCTCACACCCATCCTGCGATCGCTGTGACCAGCAGCTCTCCTGTAACTGCTCCTACGGTGAATTCACCAGCGTTCCCACAGTAACAGAGCGTGCCTTGACTCTCGATCTCTCCTTCAACAACATCACCATGGTGGCCGCTGATGACCTGACAGGCCACGCGCAACTGAGGGTGTTGAATCTTCACGGTAATGCTGATGGGATTTTATTTGGTTTATAGGAGTAAGACTTCAACAAGCCTTATCTGTAAAAATAAACAAAAAAGAAGAAGATCTAATGCATGTGCATAGTGCATGAAAAGTAAGATTCATTTCTTAAGCATGATTAAGTAAGGAGTTATGATTTCTTTGAGATTTTCTGTTCATATGTGAGCATTAGTAGGGATCTACTACTGTATTGTACAGAAATATTTTACCCCTCGTCTTTTTGACAAAGAGAAGAAAGCTCTCATGATGCTTTGACAGTGTACCGATGGATAAGACTAACGGGATGTTGAACTATAAAATGATATGTTATTTTACATAACATACTCTGCTGAACAATACATTGATATTAACAACTTCTGTAATTAATGATAATATATTACATATTAGCGTGTAAGGTTGTAATAAATATAAATAATTAATTGTTTGTAAATTAAGTAAAACTAATGTAAACTGACTAGACAATCTCACCTCCAAGCTCAAATTAGTGTGTTTTCACAAGCACTTCAAGGACTTCTCATCCATGTTTCGCTTTGCCTAAGGTCAAGACTGAACTTCTGAATCTCCTCATCAGGAAGTTTGTTCCTAGATCAAAAGTTCCTAAACTGGATCTTCTTCCAGGTTAGGGCTAGGAAACCACCACCTGATGACCTGAGAGGTTTGAATAGCTTGCAGCCTGGTCAGAAATGTACTTTGCCCCCAAAAAAACAAAACAATGCAACAATAATTAAAACAATAATATAATAACACCGACATAACAACAATTCAACAATAATGACACTAATGATTACATAAAAAACGATGATAACAATATCAACAATAACAAAAGTTGCAATGATAACAACAATGACAATTGTAATAACAAAGATAGTGATTATAGCAACAAACCTTGACACAACAACAATGACAATAACAACTACATTCCTCCCCATAGGGTTGTAGGGGTTATATGTCTATTCAGCAACTGCAAACCTAGATCATATTTCTGTTTTGTTCATCAATAAATAATTAAATCATATCTGCTGATTGCTAGTGAATAAACATAATAAGCATAGTAACAACAATGATAATAACAATGATAACAAACCCCTATAAAAACAATTGTAATTATGATAATAATCGGTCGAAGGGTTGACCCCTGTGGCACCGCAGATACATTTAGAGTGCCATATTTTAATGTGTCCTCCAGGTAACAGACTAGCTGTGATCCATACGTCTGCGTTTGACCCTCTCTGGAGCCTGGAGGAGCTCGATCTGTCTGACAATCAGCTGACTGATCTCCACCATGAATGGTTCAGCAAACTAGGAGCTCTGCAGCAGCTCAACCTGCTCAACAACCCATACAGGTAAAGCTCTCCAGTTACAGTATAAAAAACAAGCAGAAGCCTCCACATCGCGTATGATGTACAAGTGTCCAAATACTTTTAATCTTTTAATGCAGCGTCTTCTCTCCCCTCCTCTCCTCCAGCTGCCTGGGTTCTTCTCCAGTGTTTCAGAAGCTGATCAGGCTGAGGAGGCTGTGGTTTGGAGGTCCCGCTCTGGAGGAGCTAAAGAGAGGAGATCTGTCTGGAGTCACTCAGCTGGAGGAGCTCACAGTGCGAGCCAACAACCTGAAGAGGTGGGAGACTGACACTGTTATTGTGTTGTTACCTGAGAGCCAGATGTCCTCACAAGAAAAAGAAAAACACTTCTTTAAAGTAAATGAAGCCTGTTTGTGTCCAATTAATTTTTTTTTTATTCATTCCTGTTTTTGTGTCTTTCACCGGAGGCTCAGCAACATCAACACAGCTAAATGTATTGGATGATAATGAAACGGTTAGTGAGCTACACTAAATGTTGTAAATGAGACTGGTACCACAGTTTATAACAGTTAGACCGCAGTAAGTAATCTTCCAGTGTGTTGTTGTCCAGTGCGTTATGTTGCAGTATTGTGTAACCTCGATAAAACAACAATAAGCGGTGGATCTGACATTAGCTAACGTTAGCTGGCTGCTCCTGGCTGCATCACTGTAGGCTAGTAGGAACTAATCACTCCCCATTTACTTTGCAGTGTTGGGCACAAGTAGCACCGTTACTAGTTTAACTACATTTCTCAGTAGCTTGGTGGTTTTCTGAATCAAACAGCTTTTCAGTAGCGAAGCTCTTTTATTGATCAAGTAGCGCAGTAGCGTCCCCACACACTACTTCCCAAGCGTTTCTGAAGTGCAAATCTGAAATACAACTACTAAGGATCAGTAAGTGACGCCCCCGCCGCACACGGACCTGTATGTGTAGCCGGCGGAAGTACTTCTGTGTAACGGTGACATCACATACTGATGTTTGGGCTGATGTCAGGCTGTGTCCGAAATCCCCACTCATTCACTACTCCTCCTTCCCCCCCATTTATAGGGAGTTGTATGTAGAGGACTATATAGTGAGCTCACTCGCATTATTATAACAACATTTTCTGACACTACCCCAATCATTACGTCATCGCCGTCGGACAATCACTTTTTTCTTTCAGTGCAGTGCATGATGGTATATACGGCTTGGTTAGTGACCATCAGTTGTACACTACTTTTCAAAATGCATTCTGGGATACATTGAGTGGACTCTATAGGGTATAATAATTATCACTATACATTCGGACAGCACTACAAAATGGCGAGCTATACTATATCTATATAGTGGACAATACAGTGAGTAGTGGGTGATTTCGGACACAGACGCACTTTGCTGCAGCGGAATGAAGACACACGTGATGGAGTTTATTTTCTATTGTGATAGTTATTGTAACACCTCTTGTGAGAAGGATCAGGGTCCAGCTCTTCCTCTAGTGAGGAGGAAAGCTTGATATGTAATGGCAGAAACTTGTTTCCATTGAGAGAGATAACTCTAAAAGGAAAAATTCTTAAAATAACAAACAATAATAATGATAATAATGTGATCATTTTACAGTAACTTTATCCAAACAACAATGGTTCTCAATTTTCCCCAGGTGGAAATACATTTTGCTGCAATGATATGGCAGTATATATACACAGAAAATTAAAAGTAGCTTAGATTTTGTGCCATGTTGCTGTAGCTTACAGTAGCTTGCTACATTTCCCTGGGAGGTAGCTTCTGTGTAGTGAAGCTTCATTTAATGTAGAGTAAGTAGTAGCTTAGCTCACTCCATTTTCCAAGTAGTTTGCCCAGCACTGTTACTTTGTACCGATACATACAGTTCTTGCAGGCTAAAATCAGCACTTTGACATAATACAGGTGGGACACAGGATAGTAATAAGGGTCGTGTTAGCTGGTGAAGTCATGTAGAAAGCCACAATGGAGCCAAAAGCCAGGCTTTAGCACATTAAACTTTGTTGTTGGTTTTTATCCTTAATGGAGTTTATGTTAGAGTCTGCCGGGAGCACAACACAGGGTCGTTTTATGGTGTTAGTGGACTGCATGTCAGTAGATGTGGTATTGTCGCTGTAGTCGGTGAGAGACAGTCTTTGACTCTCTCCTGTCTCTTTCTCTCTCTGCAGGTATGAAGCTGGTGCCTTAGCGGACATATGGCCACTGGGTCGTGTCACTTTGAGCCTCCACAGTCCATTTTTAAAAAACATATCCTTAGCCTCGGCTGTGCTCGGTGACTTGACGTACCCTGAGACGCCAATCATTCTTGAAGACCTCCATTTGATTGGGAACCAGTCTGTTCAGGCTTTCAGAGAGACAGCAAGGAGGAGAATCAGGTGTGGCCACACTGCTTTACTATTTAACAAAACTACATTCATTTTGACTGTGACACTCATCATAATACGTAAGGAAAAATAATAAAGAAATATTAAATTACATTTTTTCAATGCATAGTATATTTAAGATGTACACAACCAACTCTTCAATCAAACAGCCAATAACTGAGTTGTCCAGTGGTGCAAATCATGGGAATCTTACGTGAACAGGATGTAAGTTTTTGAAATATACAGTATATTTATCTTGCCATTACCTGCATTACCTTCATGCTCTGCAGTACACGGTATATACAAAGCTTCTTTCTCTATTTCACTGATTTAAGTTCAAATTACAGACTTCTTCATGCCATTTGAAACCAGTCAAAGGTGAAATTGAGAATGTGAGATATTGCTGCCACATGGCAAAAAACATCAGTTTGACAAACCTGTCGCTCTTCTGTGATGTCACTCTTCAGGCACCTGACACTCCGTAACCTTACTGTATCGGATGAGGCCATTGTTGACCTCCTGATGGTGTTGGATGGAGTGCCGCTCACCGTCTTGTCCGTGGACAATGCCACACTGACTGGCGAGGGCAGGTAGGACACCAGTGTGATCAAACTCAGTGTTGCCAACTTAGCAACTTTCTCCTAAGTTGTGTTCAGTGAGTGGGGGAAAACAGCAGCACATTTGGTTGACTGATCATTAGCAAGAAAGATGTCTGCCATTATATTTGGCAACACCGAACACATGTATGAAAGTTGTTGATATAGGATCCATAAGCACTGCTGGGAAGTGATGTTTCTGTATCTGTTCTGCATCTCAGTGGCGGGGAACTTCTAAAACTGTCCAGCCAGTAATTAACAACCAGCATTCAATTTATAAAAATGTCTAAAGCTAACACAACTCTGGGTTGAGACAAAAAGTGTCACATTCATAAATTGCCCTAAAGTCTTAATGAACAGTAAATATGGGTGCAAATTGTTATGCTTTGTCCAGTCAAAGTGAAAATAAAGTTGTTGATATTCACTTACACTTAAATAATACAGACACATATTTGAAAATGTAGGTTATCTGAGGAAAAGTTCCAAATTTGAGGATATTGTGATATTTCAAGAACACTGTTAGGTGAGGTTGTCTGTTTGTTGTCTCCGAAGGGAAATTTGGCTTGGGCTCAGTGCATTGTTGCTTCATTTTTGTTTTTTAAACCACTAAAACATCACAACACATGAACAAGAACCCGAGAAGCTTTGACATGGTGCAGTACTTCACAAAAGGAAAAGAAAAAAGCAGAAGAGCAGCTTTCAATCCGGTAATGTATTGCATTGGACAGTGGCTGTCAAAGTGGGTCCTTGATGTTGTTCCGGGGGGTCCCCAGCAAAAAGGGGAATAGTTCTTTTCTCTATAATTCCATCCATACGTAACACAATTCGGTCATGAGTTTCATACACTTTCTGAAATAAAACATCTACCAATCTAAACCAATCAAACATACCAATGAATCTTCCACCCCTCAAGGACTGTTGGCCTTCAGGACTCTGACCCCTCCCAATCATGGACACAAACAGTTTCAGACATTCCCTCTCCCCCACCCCTTTTCAGTACAAACAAACAATACAATATTTTGCATGTCAAATTCTTACATAGTCTTTATGATTCATTTATATTTGTTTTATATCTTGTCAATTTGTTACTTTATATTTATATAAGCCACCAAAGAAAATTCCTTGATAACCTACTTGGCAGTAAAATTGTTTCTGATTCTAAAAGCAAAATTTCTTTCAGATGGCGTCCTTGACGTGAAAAAGTTAAAGAACCACTGGTAAAGGAACACCTATAATAAAAAAAGTCAGAATATTTAGAAGCGGGGGGAGTATGGAAGAGTGGCTTAGACACTTGCCTTTGGTGTGGGAGACCCAGGTTCAATTCCCCGCTGTGACACTTCCACCGATGTGTCCCTGAGCAAGACATTTAACCCCTAGTGCTCCTCTGACATGTGTAGCAAATGTAAGTTGCTTTGAAGCAGCAGCTAAATGGATAACTGCATGAAAACTGTAACCTTTTGATATTTTTTGGTTGGTGTTTAGGTGGGAGCGGGCAAGCTGGAGTGATCATAGAAGCACTGACGAGTTCTTCGTACGAAACCTCGTGGTGCTAGATATCTTCAAGTTTACCTCGTTTCTGCAGCTGCAGTTTCTGCTGCGCTACCCCAGGAGGGTGTCTGTTATACACTCTCAGGTACAAGTTGATAATTATCTGTCACAAGTATTAAACATGCAGTAGCATCAGTCACCTAAATACCTAGAACAAAAGTCCTGACATTTTAAAACAAAAGAAGAAAGAAAATGTCTGAATTGTGAGAATAAAATTAGGAGTGTGATTTTAAAGGAAGAATTCCAACATCAGTCCAATGAATACCAACTACTATCTCAAGTTATTTTAAATCTCAAAGTCTTGACTTATATAATACTGACTTTAGGATGAGTCAAAATTATATCTCAGAGCTCTTAATATTTATTTTCCTGTGGCCCAAATCCTGTTCTAAAGAATGACATTTTCCATTAATGAAAAGGAATTTTACATTTTATAATTTCAGTTTTAGCTGAAGCTGCTACCTTAAACCCTGAAAAATATGAGGAATAATTCAATTTGAATGAACTGAGTTAATGAAAATGTAAATGGTCATTCTTAATTAATAAAAAAGTGCCACGAATATTGCAGCACCGTGCTTGGTATTTTCAGAAAGGCCAATAAGAGAAACCCTCAATGACAGACTGCAGTGAGTTATGTGAGCTAACAGGACACTGAGTACCATGGATGTGGCGTCAAGACTTCGGCTCTCTATTGTGTCTGGCTTGCCGTACGATGTTACCAGTTAGCCACAGTAGCTTAATAACTATCCCTGCAGCAGCTGTCACCAAGCATGCAACACAGGACATGCAAATGACTCTCACTTTGCCTCTTTCTGGTGTAGCCAGGCACTTATTAGCTTATTAGCAAAATGAACCACTGAGTGACTGACAGAGGTATTCTAAAATTTATTCCAACCCTCTGAGCTTCATAAGCAATGCATGACTTTTACCCTCAGGCCTTTGTGATGCCCTGTGCGACATCCCACCTGCTGGTCAACCTGCAGTATCTGGACATGTCCGACAACCTGCTGACTGACATGACTCTGGTGGAGACACTGTGTGATGGAAAAGGCACCCTGAAGGAACTCAGAGTTTTAAACATCAGTGGAAATGCTCTTCAGGTGCCTTCATAATACCGTCAAACAACCGTCCTATTATTTTTGTTTTAAGAAGTACAGCCACCAGGAACAAAAGTGATCACTGTTTGTTAGCACAATTTCAGTTTTACCAAACTTATCTGGAAGCAAAAATGAAAGCTAATGTTACTATTACTCAATCTGTTCTATTTCAGCTATAATCTATCATGCTAACCATTGCTTCACAGGCTGAGTAGCACCCCTGCTGACGAGTAAACTGATCATCACAGCACAAATCATTGTAAATACAAGGATACTTTTAAAAAGGTTTCAAGAAGAGATTACCTGCTGCTGAAGACTTGTCTCCCTCTGTGACTCTGCTGTCCAGTCTTTGTCCACGGTTAGCCGACTGGTAGCGAAGCTCTCCAAACTGACCCACCTAGACATCAGCAGGAATGGATACAGCTCCATGCCCCAGGGCTGCACCTGGCCCGCCACCCTGCGATACCTCAACATCTCCAGGGCTAAACTCACAACCATCAGCCCCTGTCTACCCACAACTCTGGAGGTACTGAAAGTGGACCATGAACCTGACACCGTCAAAAAAAAAAAATAAAAACTCATTGATAAGCTACTTTTACCTTTTACTTTATCATATACAGGTGTTGGATCTGAGCAACAATGATCTCAAAGGCTTCCTTTTGGACCTGCCTGCCCTGAGAGAGCTCCACCTCTCTGGAAACAAGTTTCTTAGAATACCCCCTGGATCGCTGTTCACCAATCTGCAAACACTGAATATACAGGTAAGAAACAATCACATCTTACATTTCTTTCCTCATTGTATTCCCCGGTTTGACCCCTCTCCTTGTTCTTCCACAGTCAAACACCTTGAAAATGTTTGACCGTTCAGACCTGCAGTCGTACAGACGACTCCAGAGCCTCCAGATGGGTCAGAACAAATTTGTCTGCTCCTGTGACTTTGTCAATTTCTTCCAGTCGGTTATAAAAGGAGGTGGAGACATGCATTTAACAGATGGAGAGGAGAACTACGTCTGCGACTCTCCTCTTTACCTGCAAGGGGAACTGGTGGGTCAAGTCAGCCTCCCCATTTCTGAGTGCCACATGGTTTTATTTGTGTCTGTGACGTGTGTCATGGCGGTGTTTGTTGCCACTCTGGTGGTTTCCCTGTTGTGGCGAGTCCATGCATTCTGGTACATCAAGATGACATGGGCATGGCTGAAAGCCAAGCGTAGCTCCCAGCGACGGCGGCACAGAGATGCAGGGGATTCAGAAGCGTTGCTATCCTTTGACGCCTTTGTGTCCTACAGTGAGAGAGACACTAGCTGGGTGGAAAACTTCTTGGTACCTGAGCTGGAGGAGCCAAGGTAAAGTTAGAATTTTTCCATTTTCAGTTTGTGTAGTTGTTTGTTATTTAGACATTTCAAAAGCTACATCACTTGTCACTTTGCCTCAAAAATATTGTAAAAAAAGAAAATATGGTTTTAGCATTCCTCAAACAAATTGCCTTCAATATTTATCACAAATGTCAAAAAGCCCATAATAAAGTTAATCATTTCTATTTTGAGATGACCTGCTTTACAGTTATTGGTTGCCAATTTCTTGTGTAGTCTGCAGGAATGGTGCATTCATGTTCAGTTTTACAAAATGGAAAAATTACCATATAAGAAACATGCAATCTGCCTGTGCCATGCACTTTTGCAGCTGACTCTCAACAGCCATTTATTCCGAGCACACTGATCCCCACCTTCCACAAACACAGTCTAAACCGTTGGGGAAACATAACTTCTTCTCTGGTTTATAATCCAACAGGGAAAATGATGGAGGCTCTGGGACTAACAGAAGCCCCCGGCCTCTATCCCTGTGCCTCCACAAGCGGGATTTCCTTCCTGGACACTGGATTGTGGACAACATCATGAACGCCATGGAGCGCAGCCGACGGACCGTCTTCATCCTCTCAGAGAATTTTGTCCAGTCTGACTGGTGCCGCTACGAGCTCGACTTCTCCCACTTCTGGCTTTTCGATGGGAATGCTGGCAGAGAAGCGGCCATCTTGATCCTGTTGGAGCCGCTGTCCAAGGACAACATCCCCAAACGCTTTTGCAAACTGCGCAAACTCATGAGCTCCACCACCTACCTGGAGTGGCCTCAGGAAGAGGAGAAGATTGGGGAGTTCTGGAGAAGTCTCCGCAACGCTTTGAGCGGAGAAGAGGATGACGACTGAGAGGGAAAGAAAAAGTGATGAAGAGAGTGAGCAGCGAAAAAAAATCAAAAAAGAAGATAAGAGAAGGAAAAGAGGAAAAGAAATGGATAAAAGGGATAACAAGGGATGAGAACAGAGTCAAAAGAAAGAAAAGAGATGAGATGAGCAGCAAGACAAAAATTTAAAAACGTAAGTATCGAAAACGTTAGGAGAATGCCAACATAAAAGATAAGATGAGAAGATAAGGTGTAAAAGAAGACTCAGACAAAGATGTACATTAAGCGAGGAGATTTAATTTCACAGACAAATATTGTGACTTTCATTTACCTTATATATATATGTAATATATTTTGTGTGCTGAAAGAATCTATTTAATCTGCAGTAATCAGACCACTTGGTTTCCTCAGTTTGTACATTCAAGGGTTCAACTCAGATGACATTTTGTAGGTGACTGTTTAACAATAAATCAGTAATGAAAAAAAGGCACATTGAGAATATTGTTTGAATAACCTAATCATTATGTCTATGTTTTATACAAATGAATGAAACAATGAATTAAAGTTGGTCAGTTATTTAAAGGAATGCATTTGTTTCTGCGGCATTGGACCAAATCTTTTCATTCGTTTCCTCGTAGTACCTTCATTTTCTTTGTTTGTGTTGAGTGGCAGTTGTATACATTTGTTCTGCGGCTCAGGAATGTTCATAGCTAAAGTGAACAAACACATCCAAGGCTCCAGACTAACTTTTCAATGTGTAGCACTGGAGGGACCAACTTTCTCAGGTGGTCGCAGAAGCACATGTATCTGTATGTATGTATATTGTCTGCTATGTAGCAGAAGGGAGTTACAAAACTCAATTTCACTCTATAAATTGTTATATTGTGACAATAAACCTACCTACCACATGATTTGTCACACCCTCTGTTTTCCCGGTACAGGTATTAATAAATGACAGTTGATGCATCGGTCCCTACAAGTTTTGTGTTTCTTACTGTTGTCGTGCAACTTCAAAGTTTCAAGCTTAAACGGTGTTGACCCGGTTTAGAGTTGCTTGCAAGGGACGGGCCACATCGTTGACAATATAAACACAGCAGAGCATTGCCATCGTACTGCAACCACTTGATCCCCATCCTGGCTCTGGCTTAATCTACATCTGTCCAATACGTGGAGGAGTAGCTATTATATATAAATGTATTCATACTGTCATAGTTACTCAACGAAGGTTAAAGTCAAGGGCAACTGGACTTGGTTGAAGATACTGGAAGACGTTTCGTCCCTCATCCAAAGGACTTCTTCAGTTCTGACTGACTGGCAGGGAAACTCAGCTATTTAACCTCAGTGGGGTCGTTATCCCGGGTCATCAATACCGCTGGTTCCTGGTTGCTGTAACGACAGTCGTTACGGTCATTAGGACTACCGGTGGCCAAGACTGAACGACCATCGTTGGTATCTTCACCTGAGGCCAATAGGTTACGTTTGTTGAGTTTCCTGGGAAGTGATGAAAGGACAGCATTGTAAGTGGGGGATAAGTGGTGGCGTAGACCCCCTCCCCTGTTCAATGACGGCTTCTCAACCCTGGTGTAGATGGCTTCCTTGACACCTCTTTCAAACCATCCATCTTCTCTGTCTAAATTGTGCACCTGGTGGTCCTCAAACGAGTGTCCTCTGTCCTTCAGATGTAAGTAGACTGCAGAGTCTTGACCTGAGGTATTCATACAATGTTTATTCAATAGTATACTATTATAGTATAATATATAATGTATAATTTTAATAATTATATACTGTTACTATATTGATTATAATTTCATATATTAGTATTCTATATAGCTTACCACTAGTATCATATTAATTCCAGTACCAGCAGATTTTCACTTTTGTGGATTGTTTTCATTCATTAAATCCTTGTGCAAGATAAAATGCTCTACATGTTTGGTACGGTAGGTTGCGATCTTTACTCACACAGCATGCTCATACTTTAGAGTGAAATAGTCACGATTTAGAGCCCTGCTAATAATCATCTTGCACTTGCACCACGTGAAATTTTACAGACTGATTCCCCCAGTTTTAGTAGGTTCCTGACTCTGTGAACTTCATTGAATGAATGCCAGATCCTTCCAAAGTCTTCCTTCCTCATATTCAGTGCTTCATGATAAGAATCATCGGGAAATCTTATTCTCCATCAACTCTTTCGGACCTGAAAACAGATTTTTCATGAATCCGAGTTGTTACTGCTGCTGCTGTCTTCCACTGATGTTCTGACACTGATTCCTTTCAGAAGAACTGCATAAGAAATCTGAAACAGCTTTATTGCCAAATAAACGTCCACATACACATACGTGCTTTGGTGTCTTGGTGCATAACAATTAACAAAAAAATATAAATATTAAATTGACAACATAAAAAAATATAAAACAATAATAAATAATATGTACAATGGGTTCAAACCCTGGTTGCCCCGACCTTTCTGTGTGAAGTTTGCATGTTCTCCTCGTGTCTGCATGGGTTCTCTCCAGGTGCTCCGGCTTCCTCCCGCCATCCAAAGACATGCAGGCTAGGTTAATTGTTGTCTCTATAATTGTCCTTAGGTGTGAGTGGTTGTTTGTCTATGTGTGGCCCTGCAATGGACTAGCGACCTGTCCAGGGGTTACCCGCCTTTCGCCCGATGTCAGCTGGGATTAGCTCCAGCCCCCTGCGACCCTGGAAACCTACGCAGGATTAGCGGTTGATGATGGATGGATGGATGTACAATAAGGCTGTTTGTGCAGTGACAGGCAAAATATTTACATGTGCAAACATAAAGAAATGGGGTGGGGGGTTAATGGTGTAAGTATCAGTGGGGCTCATGGGGCTCAGCACCCTCCAGTTAGAAGCAGAGTCGGTCAGGTGTTGTAGTCTCTCTGAGTACGGTTATTTAGCAACTCTCACCAACTTGCTAAAAATGTGTTTTGAGTCCTTCAATCTGGCGCTGTCTCCACTCCTAAATTCCTTGTCCTCATCCAACCTCAGCCGTCTGAGCTTGGCTGTCAAACCAGGGTTTCTCTTTGTTTCACAAATAAACCTTTGAGTGCACTATGTAAGTCACCCTGGTGCATGATGGTACACAGCAGTGCTAACAGAAGCTGATGAAGAACATCACAGCCTCTGTAAACTCATCCAGGCTGTTGGGAGCAGTCCTGAAAACATCCCAGTCCAAACCCGCCCAGAGGTTTTCCATAGATTCACTAGTCCACTACTTTGATGTCCACACAAAAGGTTTACAGAGCTTTAATTTCTGCTTGTATGCAGGAATCAGGTGGACCATGACGTGGTCAGATTGTCCTAGTGCAGCGTGGGGGACAGCGTGATAGGCACCGCTTAATGTAGTGTAACAGTGATCCAGAATGTTCTGTTCTCTGGTCGGAAATTTAATAAACTGTCTGTATTTGGGGAGTTCATGGCTGAGATTTCCTTTGTTAAAGTCACCGAGGACAATAACAAGGGAGTCCGGGTTTGTCTGTTCTACACACAGTATCTGGTCGGCGAGCATGCGCTGTGACTCCTGCACGTTGGCCTGCGGTGGAATGTAAACACCAACAAGAGTGAACGAAGCAAACTGACGGGGGGAGTAGAAAGGTTTACACATTATAAATAAGGATTCTAGATGAGGAGAACAGTGCTGTTGAATCACTTTTAGATTGTTACACCAGCCACTGTTGATGTAAAAACAGATACCTCCACCTTTTGTTTTGCCCGAGAGAGCTGCGTCACGATCCGCTCTGAAGAGCTGGAAGCCTGCCAGCTGCAGCGCTGAGTCCGGTATCGATTTACACAGCCACGTCTCCGTGAAGCATAAAACAGAAGACGAATAAAAGTCTTTGTTTTTCCCTAACAACTGCTGTAGTTCATTAAGTTTGTTGTACAGTGAGCGCACGTTGGAGAGAAATATTCCCGGTAATGGTGTGCGAAGGCCGAGCCGGCGGAGACGCATAAGTGCAAGAGCGCCTTTGACCTGATCTAAGACCGGTGTTGTGTTTTGATTTTTTGATCTCTTGTTCCGTTCAAGACATAACCTGAATTTTTTTTTATCCAGGTTGTCAACCTTTCGTGTACGTTCAGTGATGCAGTTTGGATCGCTATTGTCAGACAGACTGAAGGAGCCGAGGTCATCAGTGAAGCGGCCGTCTCTTCTCAGAGCCTCTTCCACAGTCATCCCCTTCTTCCCATAAACACACAGATACTTGAACTGTTTGACAGCTTTACTTCTGAAAAGCTTCTTTGTTTTAGCATTTTGTCCTCCTACTGTATCGATGTAGAAGACAGAATAGCCGTCCCTTGAATGTATTGTTTGGTCATGTTGGTCTTGAGCCTCTTCAACCTTTTCTGATGTACATGTTATGATCAGAGACTCACCATCCTGGATACAAGAACAGGGGAAATGTGTTGCAACAATAGATTCACGATCCTCTTTACCCAGCTGAATCACAATGTTTTCATCTAAACTCTTCTTCATCTTCTTCTGATAGTGGTCAGAAGACTTTATTGCCTCCAGCACTGTGCGATGTTGATCACAGTCAATAGTGTAATCCTTACGGTCAGTACGACATTTCACAGTGAAATGACGTAAATGTCCATCCTGCAGGAAACCAGAGTCAGAAAATAAAAGTTACATGTCCGTGTTGGTGTCATAAAAATGAAGACTTCTTGTGCATGCAGTGTATTAGAAAACTGACCAGAGAATCACCATAATTCTCCTTCATCGCTTCGCTGCACTTAAGAATCTGTAAAATATAAAAAGGATTCAGATTTACTGTTGTAAAAAGAATGGGAATTCCCCAAGTGACAACTGTGTGTACAGCGACATATCACTAAATGAGGCTCCCGCTTCTCTTTTATAACACATAGGAGGGGCTGATTCAGTGAGAACAGTAGCACTATGTCTTTATATTGTCTTAATGATATCATTTCTAATAGAGGTGTCTCTATCAGTTACAAATAGTTTGCTCCAGAGTTGTTGAAGCAAACCAAAGTTAAAAGGAGAGTGAACATTGGACTCACATTAATCAGCTGCTGAGAAAGAGGACTATAATAAGTGAAGGAAGGCAATTATTCTGTGTAAGAAACTGATAAGCTGCTAGAATATCTAACATATAAAATACCATAAAAGTGTGTCTGCATGACTGAGACTTAGCTACGCTCAAACATTATCTTCCCTTTAAACCATCTCTAAAACTTCCCAATGTGTGTATTTTTCAACTTTCAGTTGGTCGCCGGCTCCCATCATTCACTTAAAGATCACTAGGCAGTGGAGTCTTAAGGCCAGAACATAAAACTAGGACAGGAAGGAAGGACCAGATGCAGTGTGAAATTGTTTTAACCTTTATTTATTCAGGGAGTTTCACTGAGAGCAACCTCTCATTTGCAGGAAGACCGTGATCACAATCACACCTGGAAGCTGCCCAGTACAACCGCAGACTGGTCTGCTGGCCACTGAGCAGCTCCGTTGGGTTATGGGCCTTGCTCAAGGGCACCTCAGTGGTGGTAAATGAAGGAGGGCAAGCACTGTTGTTTTACTTTCCACACCTAGATTTATACTGATTGAACTGGCAACCTCACGGTCACAAGCTCGCTTCTCTGACCTTTGGGCCACCAAAATCCCCCAAAATCTGTCTGTCTTACATCTTGGACTTGAAACCGGTGGGAAAGCTGCTTGTCGACAAATGCCACCATCTAGTATCAGTGTCAATAAAGCTTTTTCTTTGAAATGAGGGCTGGCAGAAATGGAAATAATTAAATGTAACAATATTCATGTATCTATGTAGGAATGGAAAATTACTTTGATAATTCAGTTTATGTTCATCAAACTAAATAATGCACTCTAACTACAGTGCTAGATTCCACTAAATTCTACCCACTGGACCTTTTAAATTACCAGTGTGTAGGTTTTAGTGGCACAGAGTGGATTGCAGCTCACTTGTTCCCCCCTGGATTAGCAGTCCAGCCCTGCTCATCAGCCCTATTTCTTATACCAGTGTTTTCCCGGACTGGCACAAGTATCTCTCTTCTAGAGTGATCTCCTGAGGCAGCAGTGTGAGTTCACCAGCCCAAGCTTGTGTGTTAAAGACATCCCAGTACAATAGCTCAGTACATCATCATTGCAAGAACGACAATCCCGCTTCAAGATGAGGGTTGCCAAGCGCCACTGACAAACTGTTTAAAATGTTTGCAACAATATCCTGGCCAACTTTAATCAGTCTGTAGTTTGTTTGAGTATGTTTGTGACATCAGTGCAAAGCGATTTAAGTTGTCTTAATTTTTCAGACCACCGTGATTGTGCAGCTTCATTTGATGCCAAAATGTACCCCGCATCAAATTCCACAGGTGCAAATATTTTGTTCTTAAAAACACTCCCTTGTCAAGCCGACACACATTTTTTTAGGGTACAGTTGTGACACAGAAAGAAAGCAGCAGTCAGTACTTCAGTCAATTACCCCTAACACTTTTCTCTCCATTATTTATGCCATAAAGTTTCTCTTTGGAAGTGAAAAGATGAAGAGACTCTGACAGGGAACATTGTTCTTTAATTATCTCAATAGAACTTCTGTGGTTCGCACTGAATTATTGGTTTAGTTTGATTTTTTATTGGTATTACAGTATCACTACAGGGTTGGTAAATTAGTTGGTTTTATTAGGAATTTACTGTATTTTGTATCTGTAAGGTTGGATGTCGCTGCACTGCAGAGATACTTTTTTGTTGGACGGAAAATTATTTTTACTTTTCTTTCTTATAATTATAATTTAATAGTCTTAATGTCCACGGAATTTTATGCAATTGTCCTGTTTATTTTTGAGCATTTAGGATATGAACAAAAGTATAAACACATTTTATTTTTAACTTTATGCTGAAACATTTAGCACGCAGCATGTATTCAATGTGTTAACATATTGACAACACAAATGTGTTGTTATCTTAGATACAGTATGCTGGTGTGTTTTAAAAGGAACACATGATGTGTCAGCTTTAACACAGCTGAGAGTGTAGTTGACTGAGGGTGGTAAGCCAGGCTAAGGATGAGCCGTCATAGTTTAATGGAATACTGACTCACCTTGGCACTAAGTACCCAAACCGGCTCTGGTCCTCCACACACACGCACAGGCACTGGCTGAATGCAGCTGGGCAAAGCAAATCTATTTGCATACCTCCTTTCAACAAGGACATTCAAAGGGATTTGCATTAGATATAAAGGCATTAAGATATGTATTAAAGAAATAACAGATTACAAAACCTAAATAAGATAATAAAATATTAAAACAATCTAAAATAGAGTAAGAAAAGTAAAAAAAATTTAATCACGGCTATTGTGCTGTGCAAGATATGAACAGTCTCAAAGACCTCATACATTTAAAAAAAGGCAGTGGCAAAAAGAAAGTGTTGCAGCAGTTTGATCCTTTTGAGAGGTCTGGATGGTTCATAACGGAGCAGCAGATCAGAAATAAACCTTTCAGTGCTTCATAAACCAACCGTAATATTTTAAAATCAATTCTTCGACAGATAGGGAACCAGTGTAAACATCTGAGGACTGGGGTGATTTGATCCACTCTCCTGGTCTTAGTCAGGACCCCAGCTGCAGCGTTCTGAATCAGTTTGATCAACATTTTAGAGAGACCTGTGAAGACAGGAGATTGATGTTTTTAAGTAGTTATTTTGTGTCTGCCCTGCCCTGATTCGTTTCACCTGTGTCTGGTTACTCGAGTTTTAGTCCCTGTGTTCCTGTGTCTCAGTGCCAGGTCGTCTTTGTCCCTGTCCACAGTGTCAGGCCAGTTCCCAAGTGTTAATAACTTTAACTGTGTTTCTTGGACTTTGCTAGTTTTATAGACTCTGGATTTGTTGCCAGATTGGATTGTTTTACGGGTTTTGACCCTTGCATACCTCACCTTTCCATAAACCTTTTTCCCTAATGATTTTATCATTAAACACCACGAGTTGCACCCGCTCTGCCCCGCCGACAACTGTGACAGGGATTTTTTCAAGATTGTTGATCTGTGTGATAAACAAGCAAATGACAAACTTTCTGTCAAACATAAAATCTATTTATGCAAAAAAAAATCCATTGTTATGTGTTAAAACTATCTACAGACGTCGTCCAACAAAATGTTTTGAAAACTTGAGCAATTGAAAAGAGAATGTTTAATTACTAATTTTCTAATTTAAAATCGGTTAGATTCTGACAGTTAATCGCTGACAATTGTCTAAACAAAAGGTTGAATTTACCTGAAAGATGAGGAAAGTGAAGGTCTCAGGTTTCTGTCCGTGGCTTAGATGATGTGTTTTAATCCATTAATGTCTATGTTGATGTTAAGTAAGACCATACTGTTATGTACAGAGAGAACCCTGGTGTCTCACCTTGACTTCAATCAACCAGTTCTGTGAGATGCATTCTGTGGGCTGATTTTATATATGTAGACAGAGGCTTTAAGGTGGGTGTGGTCCTTCGTGTGTTTCATTGTATATACATTCATTATGTTAACCGTGACCAAGTATTCCCAAACAAATTAATATTCAATCAAGACTTCGTCAGTTTACAATAGGATTATAAATGATGTCGATGGCCAATATATTATTGGCCGATAAGTAAGAAAATGTCTTCACTATTACAGGTATGATATGGAAGTTCAGCTTTCTGTTTCACTGACACTGTTAGTTTGCATGAGGGCAGGGTTGAGCTCCACACACACACATGAACAGCTTACAGCAAAGAAGACACGAGAGAACATAAAACTATCTTTAGGTTATATTTTACTAGACAAAAACTCTGCTCCTTATGCGGAAGTGCTAAAAAATCCACCAGTAAGGTTTGAAAGTTAATTGATCAAACACCTGGTGAACATAAACTTGCAGAGATGTGATGAGCTACAAACTTTCAAAACAAAATTTCACAGTGAAATGAATACTACTCGTAGGAATCAGTTGAGCCCAATTAGCTTTGGAAAAATAATTTAATTCTTGTAGGCTTTAAGTTATAAATAGAAAGACACAAAGTTGGCACATATTTTTGAAAAGCTCTGGCTCTGACTGCAAAAACACAACCACCCACGCATCCAGGCATGTCCTTATCAGATACCAACTAACATTGCTGGCTTCATCTACCATCTTTTATCAAGTAGACATAACAGGGAATTTACACAATGAGCCGCATGCAAATGTGATAAATTTGATTAGATTGGATTCACTTTGCTGTCCACCTCACAGTTCCTTACTGCAGGGACACACATAGTCTGACAATACACCAAACCTAAAACCCAAGACTTTAACATAATTTATCCTTTCCATTTTAACTTTGAAGTTGACATATAGACTCAGTTGGTCCTCTTGGTCCGACCATGTACATCACAGTTCATTTTATTTGTGGTTTTGTTAAGATGGCTGAATGTAACTCCCATCCTTAAGTGCCATGATGAGTAGTGTTTGGTCTGGATTTGTTTTTTAAAAATGCAATATGGTATGATCATATTAATAATAATTTCAACATTTTTACTAGGACACCAATAACTTGTATCACACTCAATCTGAGGGTAGATAAATTACAATCATCTATATTTGGGCCTGCAGGTGCAACTTGTAGAGATTTAACAATGATTTGAATGTCAAGTTAAAATATACACAACATGAAAAACCCCTTGCCTTCTGCTTATTTGCTTTTACAGTCAGATTGAGGACATCATGACCACTAGAAGTTAACCATATTGCTCTCAAGGTTTTGTATGGTGATCGGTCTATGTCTGATGTCATGACATTTTTGTAAATTAAAGGTTGATTGATGTTTTTTTTTCCCACCACAACCTTCCCGGGTCTTTCTTTTTTAAATGCAAATTGATTAGAATATCAAAATCAAAGCAGTTTTTCAGTAAGGAGACCCTCAATCACAGGTTCATTGGCAAATTAAGTAGAATTGTAGTTAATCTGCTAAAATTCAGGTTGTAAATTATTTTGAGATGGAATTGGTACAAGGGGAAACACAGACATATGGGCCCACCTGGAAAACTTACCTAAACACAAAGTGGGCTGAAAGTAAAAACATTCACAAAGTCGTAAGGCCCCAATATGCTTCAAACCAAGCTTGTTGGTTTATCACACAGCTGTCTTGGTTACGCTAATGCACACATTGCGGAAACCTCTGTTGTGGAGAAAACAAAACAGAAACCATTAACACAACCAAAACTGAAGTCAGTTCCTGATACAGGTTCCACAACTACTTTGACTGCACGAATACCTAAACCAAACATGTCCTTATCAGATACCAAAAGACAGTCCAGACATTTAAACATATGGTGGTTGAACAAACAAGGCCCTTTTTAGAAAAAGAAATGTGTAACACTGCTGGCGTCATCTACACATCTTCATTCAGACATGACAGGACATTTGCAGAATGAGCTGCGTGCATCCGTGATAGATTAGATTAGATTGGCTTTACTGTCCACTTCAGTGCAGAGCTTTTCCCACAATACACTTTACAGAATTTGATGTACAACAGTGCAAATGTGCAGGTAGCATCAGATAAATTATATAATTAAATCCAAGGGAGTTAATCTTATAATCTGAGTGTGTGTGTGTGTGAGAGGTGTTTAGCTTTTAAGTGTACAGCCCTTTTAAATATATTGCACAGTTTTGTTTTGTGTGAATTCTCACCTCCACAAGGCTGGAAAGGGCTACGGGGAAATTGCCAAGCAGCTTGGTGAAAAAAGGTCCACTGTTGGAGCAATCATTAGAAAATGGAAGAAGCTAAACATGACTGTCAATCTCCCTCGGACTGGGGCTCCATGCAAGATCTCACCTCGTGGGGTCTCAATGATCCTAAGAAAGGTGAGAAATCAGCCCAGAACTACACGGGAGGAGCTGGTCAATGACCTGAAAAGAGCTGGGACCACCGTTTCCAAGGTTACTGTTGGTAATACACTAAGACGTCATGGTTTGAAATCACGCATGGCACGGAAGGTTCCCCTGCTTAAACCAGCACATGTCAAGGCCCGTCTTCAGTTTGCCAATGACCATTTGGATGATCCCGAGGCGTCATGGGAGAAAGTCATGTGGTCAGATGAGACTTTTTGGTCATAATTCCACTAACCGTGTTTGGAGGAAGAAGAATGATGAGTACCATCCCAAGACCACCATCCCTACTGTGAAGCATGGGGGTGGTAGCATCATGCTTAGGGGGTGTTTTTCTGCACATGGGACAGGGCGACTGCACTGTATTAAGGAGAGGATGACCGGGGCCATGTATTGCGAGATTTTGGGGAACAACCTCCTTCCCTCAGTTAGAGCATTGAAGATGGGTCGAGGCCGGGTCTTCCAACATGACAATGACCCGAAGCACACAGCCAGGATAACCAAGGAGTGGCTCTGTAAGAAGCATATCAAGGTTCTGGCGTGGCCTAGCCAGTCTCCAGACCTAAACCCAATAGAGAATCTTTGGAGGGAGCTCAAACTCCGTGTTTCTCAGCGACAGCCCAGAAACCTGACAGATCTAGAGAAGATCTGTGTGGAGGAGTGGGCCAAAATCCCTCCTGCAGTGTGTGCAAACCTGGTGGAAAACTACAGGAAACTTTTTGATCTCTGTAATTGCAAACAAAGGCTACTGTACCAAATATTAACATTGATATTTCTCAGGTGTTCAAATACTTATTTGCAGCTGTATCATACAAATAAATAGTTAAAAAAATCATACATTGTGATTTCTGGATTTTCTTTTTTAGATTATGTCTCTCACAGTGGACATGCACCTACGATGACAATTTCAGACCCCTCTATGATTTCTAAGTGGGAGAACTTGCAAAATAGCAGGGTGTTCAAATACTTATTTTCCTCACTGTATGTTTCATGTAGAAGGAAATACATTATAAAATACACACAACATGTTTTGTTAACACTTTTTTGTTCAAAAGAAAACACCACAGGGCCCCTTTAAGACCAAGGAAACCAAACAGCAAGTGTGACCTTGAGAATGTGTGTGAACACATTTTATGATACACAGATGAGGTTTTGTTAATATTTAATAAATACAAAGTTATAAATATCAACAGCAGTCTTGATAACAAAGCAGTGTCAATTTGATTTGGCAAAAGAAAGCTTTATATATTTTTTTTCCTTTCATAGCACTACAGCTAAGAACGAGATCTCCAAGGATTTGTACAAACCCAAACTCCTGTTGGTGAATGTTTGGATGGTGGTTACCATAGTTATGGGGCACATGCCACCATGTTGGAAGAATAGCAAAGAAAAGAGTATACTCTTCATCTTTCTCTCCAGTCTTTATCATCCGTTTTATAATGTGATACTTAAATCAAGTCCTGATGATAAGTTTGAGTCACGTCCGCCCCGCTGACGGTTTACATTATGAAGAGTCTTGTTCAGACACATAATAGTGCTTTAATAAGTTGACCGTTTAATATCAACTTTAGCTTCATACACATTAAACCATCACAGAACAGACATCCCGAATGAAACATTTGGAATAAACAAAGTTAGGTAAAATGTAAACAGTTTATGTAAAAACAACTTGAGCAGAATTGTCCCTATCAGTTTGATCTGCAGAAACACGTGTTAGTGGTGTCAACAGAACCAGCAATGTGCAAACAAACTAGAAAACGGCGTTTAAAAAGGCATTTTTGTTATGCAGTACAAAGTAAAGCAATGATGTATCACAATAAAAACAACTGCTTTGAAATGATCAGATACTGGATCTGTGCTTAAATACTTTTTGTTCATGTTGGCAGCAGTTTCGGCATCACAGTGTCCTCTGCACTCAGAGACCCAGGCCCCCGGGGGCCCCTCTGCAGTCAAGCAACATGTGCTGAGGAAACAAAAGACTTGAAAAGCAGCCTGAATCAGTTCCTTGTAGCGCAGACGTTGACACGTTGCCGCCAAACGTTTCTTGCACTCCGGGACGTACTTACAGCGGAGTTCCTCAGGGCTCTACTCGAGTCCCAGGGTGAAATTAATCCCGTGGACGATACCGATGATAATGGGCTGCCAAGCAACCAGGTATCTGAGCCAATCAAGCAGCTGCCCGTACAGGACGTGTGTCTTCTCCCAGCTGGCAGGACATGAATTAAGGTGAGTGCTCGGTGTGTTTTTATTAGTGGGGAGAGAGTTTTACAGACTTCTGGCAGTGATTTCATATTATTTCTATCGTAAAACGCTTGAGGGAGAAGTTTAGATTTGTTTAGCAGATGCTGGTGTTTATGCGTACTGATGCCCAATACTAATGCCTGACCCAAACAGTACTACCATTATGGATACATAATAAATCGGTCCAGTCATGTCTGTGTTGCACTGAATGCTTGTTTAGACGCCAAAGGTTCAGCGGGTCACAACAGGAAATGTTGTGACCTTGTGTGAGCCTACCTGTCCT